GATTCAATTGCGTTTTTAATTTTTTCATTCTGACTATCTGACAGATTGATATTAGTATAATAGTATTTTGTCATTTTATATATAAAATAATTTTTTAAATCACTTTGTGATTATTGCTTTCTGTAATGCTTTATACTCATTATCATCTATTTGACCCTGTCGTAACAACTCATCACAAATAGCAACAATCTCATTCCTTGTTCCAGTATTTCCTGCATGTAAACCAGCTAAGCGTAATTTAAGCATATCAAATAGTGCATTTGGATCACTAGGAAGAATAACAACTCCTTTTCCATACTTTCCAATCATCTCTTCCCAAATAGGTTTTATTACATTAGTGTACTTATAACCTCTAGATGATTTTGGTTTAGCTAAATTTAAATCAGAGCGAATTGCATCTGTTTGATTTAAAATTTCTTTATACTTATTACGATCATCGTTATTATATCTAACAGGATGAGATTTTACTATAATCTCCCAAAGACCTGTTGTACCAATGTATTTTTTACCTTCAATGGTTATATCATCACCTTCAATAGTTATTGGTTTTTTACCAATGTAAAATTTTTTATCACTTTCATTGTAATGTATACCAAATATATCATCTGATACTTTTTTACTATTTTTAGCAGTATATAACTTTAGATATTCTGCTGCGATAGGTCCTAATCTCATGTTATCTACAACTTCAGGTGGCATGATTGCTTTAGTTTCAGAATCTAGTAAAGCAGGATAATTTGAAAAAGTATTTGCTATTTGATCAGCTTTATTTTCTAATTTAGATATACCTTCTTTTATTCCAGATTGACTATCAATTATTGGTTTGTACAACTTTTCCAAGTTAGTCTGTAAAGCATCATAGCCCAACTTTTCATTTACATCATCTTGATATATACTTTTCTTTAAACTAGCAAGTTCTTTTGCTATTTTTAATCTTGCATCAATATCTGTAGCTTTTGCATACATTTTTATATATGCAATAATTTTTTTAAATCACAATGTGATCCCTAGATCCCTAAAGGGATTAAAATCAACATATATTATGTTTTTAATACATAATATATGTTCAAATAATACATAATATATGTTTTTTTATTTATTAAGAGTATTATTCATCACTTCTATATTCTGATTTTTGTTAAATCTCATATTTAGCAATTCCATAGTTTCTTTCATTGCTTTCTCTTTACCTTGATTAATGAATGACTCTTTAGTCTGTTCATCTATATCATTCTTAGATTTTGTTCTAATTTGTTCAGTCATAGATTGAAACTTTTCAAGTTCTGAAAGTATCATATTAAATTCTGCATCATCAATATATTGATCTGATGTAGCTTTAGAAATAAGACTACTTATTGTATTTAGTTTTGCATCAGCTAGTACTTTAATCTTTTCATGCTTTTCTGCTTTTATTGTTAATTTTTTAATAGCTTGTGATCCTATTAATGATAATACACCCATACCTAATGCAGCACCTTCACATGCAATAGCTACTGGTGTACCAACTATTGTTGTTAAAAAACCAATACCAACAGCTCCTAATGTCATAGTAGTTGCAAGTAATGTATTATCAACTGCTGAAATGATTCTTACAGCTCTGTGATATTTTTTACTTAAAATCTCTCTTCTTTTCCTTTCACATTCTATTTTATCTTGAATTTCACTAATCTTTTGTAATCTAAAGTTATGATCTATAGATTGCGGTGGTGCAGATGGATTTTCTGAAAACTGGTTTAGATCTGGATAAAGCTGCTTACATTCATTATTATATTCATTATTATATCCATTATTACATAGCATTTCTTTTTTCTATAAAGAAAAATTTGTTTTAAATCACTTTTGTTATCAATGCTTTGCTAAATCACTTTTTACCAAAATTAAATATATCTTCATCAGATTTATCTATACTAGGTTTATCTTTAATTACTTCTTCTATACTTGATAATAAAGATTTTACAGATTCTTTATCACTTTTCTGTTTAGTTCCTGAGTCATTTTGTTGTCTAATTTGTTCTTCTTTAACATGTTCTAAAGCATCTCTATGTGATATATAATTTGCATTTAAAACACCATTATAAGTTGATATACAACATAACAAATCTCCTTTTTTAATGTTTATATCTTTTTTATCGTTATTATATACAGTTATTTTAATATCGTCAGTAGACTCTGTTACAATAGAATTTAGTAAATTTAGTTCTGGTTTATAATTTTCTGCAATTGAAATCACTATATGTCCTTTATCTATTTCAACACCACACATTAAAGAAATGTTATTATATGAATTTGATTTTACTGTAAAATCTTCTTGTGCGAATACTTTAATATGTCTATTATTTACTGCTCTATGTTCTAAATCTGAATTAATATAAAAATTTATTCTATATTTTTCATGCTTTTCATAATATAAAAACATTTTACTATTATACATTTTATAAATGTAAAGATTTTTTTTAAATCACTCTGTAATCCTCATATCTATTTTGTTTTTAAAGTTCTTGCAATATAATTTAAAATGCTTTCACCTTGATGTAAAAAATTACACTTTTTATCATTAACATTTTTATATATTAATATTTTTTCTCCTTTTTTATTTTTCTTTAATTTACTATCTACTAATTTACATGGAGTATAATGACAAATTTCTACATTTTCTTCAATTTCTTTTTTTGAATGAGCATATTTGCAATTTATATTTTTACATTCTTTTTTATCAAGAATATATTTGCATAATTTAGTTTTAGCTTTTCTTAATTTTAATAATTCTGACTTTTTGGGATGAAACAATCTACACTTTTTATTCTTACATTTTGGGTATTCAGAACATAGAGATAAATGTCTATATTGACATGAAGATTTAGTGCATATGAGTCTTTCCTTTACAGTATTACAATAAGGAATATCATGATTGTATTTACATCTATGTTCAAAATGACAATAATTATCTTTTAAAATATTTTTACAGAAAATGGGTAGTTTCTCTACAAAATGTATTGTTGAAGGTTTTCCATCTTCAGTAAAATTAATATCTACATTAAATGGTTTTTCAAAACTAAATTTTCTGTTTTTGTAATGTTTTTTTGTTAAGAAACTAACTATAGCAGGAAAATCATCATTAATAACATTATAAGTTGGAACATAATTAATCCATTTCAGCTTATCTTTATGCAGTTCCATGATTTGAACTGTTTTTAAAGGAATTGGAACTATAGGTTTTTCTTTAACTTCTTCATCATCTGATGTATAATAAGTAGCTTCATCAGATGTATAATAAGTGCCATCTTCAGAATCTGATTCTTCAAATTCAAATTTTAATATTTCTTCAAAAAGTTTAAATTCTTTTTGAAATTCTGATATTTCATTAATTTCATCATCATACATTTTTCTTTTATTATTTGCAAAAAATACTTTAAATCAAAAAATTTAAAATGAGTTAAATAATTTTTCTTTTATATATAAAAGAATGGAAAACGAAATGCAAAATTTATTTTTAAGATCAATAAATGAAAGATTAAGATTAATAGAAGAAAAATTAAATATAATTGATATTCATGATATTGAAATGACTGAAGATTCTGAAGTTACTACAATTACTACTACTGAAGTTACTGAAATTACAGAAACTACTGAATACGATAATGATATTGAAATGACTGAAGAAGATGATGAAGATAATGAAGATAATGAAGATAATGAAGAAGATGATGAAGATAATGAAGATAATGAAGATGATGAAGTTGAAGAAGTTACTACAGTAACTACTGAAATTACAGAAACTACTGAATATGATAATGAAGATGATGAAGATGAAGTTGTATTTGATAATTAGACTACAGAATTAAATATTTTTTTTATTTTTTACAAAAAATAAAAAAATTGAAAAATAAGTTAAATAATTTTCTTTTATATATAAAAAGAATGGAAAATAATATTGAGAATAATAATTTTTTAATAAAACATTCATCTCAAATATATTATATTACTACAATATTAAAAAAAGAAGGTTATAAAGATAATTGGAATAAAGTTGACTTTGCTGCAAGTATATGTAGAAATGATCTAATTAAATTATTAGATCAATTAGGAGAAAAAGGAACAGGATGTGCAATTGATTATGCTGCTTATTATGGACATTTAGATCGTGTTAAATATTTAATTTCACAAAATCATAAAGTAAATTATGAAGCATTTATTTATGCTACTATAAATTGTCATTTACATATCCTTGATTATTTTCATGAGGAATTAAATTTAAGAGGACCTGATAATTTAATTGATATTGCTATAATGGAATTGACATATTAATACTTTTTAATTAGCGCACAAGAGCAATCTGCGATAGCAAGAAAAAAAATTGAAAATAAATTTCTTTACATAAATTATAAATTAAAAAATAATAAATGGATTTTACAATTAAAGATATTAAATTAGGAAGTTATAAAAGAAGAATAAGTTTAGCTCGTTATTTTCAAAATAAAAATAAATTACAATGGGAAAAGTTAGAGAAGGAAAGATTAGAAGAAGAAAAGTTAAAAACACCAGATCAAATTTATTATTAAGAAAAGTCACGTCATTTTAAGAATTTTTCGTAATATTTCATAACAAGAAATAAAATTTAACACTTATTTTAAAAAATCAATTTTTTTTAAAATAAAAAAATTATTTCTTATCTAAATAATTTATATACAACATGGTTCAATGTTAACCTCAATATTAATATTAATTTATGGTTGAAAATTTGGTTGAAAATGAAAAATCCCTCTCAATTGGGAAATCTCTTACTACTAACAACTGCTTTAAATTTCTGAGTACACACTAGAGTTAGAGTTAAACAAATGATAATATTATAAAAATCAACAACAAATTAATAATAATAATAATAATAATAATATTAAATTGTGTTTTATATACTTAATATTACTTAATAAAATAAAACATTGAAAAAAAAAAAAAACAACTTAAAAATCTAAAATAAAATTAAAAAAATAAAATTTCTCAACCTCTTTTGCATCCCAAATTTGGACTCCATCATTAAATAAAACTATCAACTTCATGTTTCCTTTACCAGGAGCAAATTTCATTCTTCGAATTGGACCACGATGTGTTGGATATACCCTACATTATCAAAATTACTAATTACTCTTTGCTTCCAGAAAGACATACAATAAAAAACCATTTTTTTTAAACTCAGCATGGAAACTTTTTTCTTTTGAGAGTACATCATTTAAGTTAACTTAATTTAGAAAACATAATAAAAAAGTACAATAAGAAATTTCATTTTAGTAACTGTATTAAACCATTATTCAGAAAAATTTGTTTATGTCAGAAACTGCCTTTTCTGACATATCAACTAGATAAACACAACTTTACTCCTGCATTAACCAACAACATTTTATTGATATTTTATTTATATTGTTATTTTTATTTTGTATGTCATATTACGATATTTTAATTAAATCTTGTTAAAGGGGTTCTATGAAAAGATTGCAACGACGTTCTGTCATCCTCATCTTCTTTGAGCCCCTATCTGTTTTACTTGTTTTGTTAAATTTTATATTATGTAGTGGAATTTGTAAAATTCTTATGTTATGTAAACAGAGAAAAAAAAAAACAAAAAACAAAAAAAAAAAAATGCCAGATTTGGTCTCAATAACCCAAACATAATAATGTTAACTGAAAAATAGTTCAATAAATACTTGAACAAGCTATGATGGGGGAATTTGGATGTACATTATATTCTTATGCATTTTACAAGAGTGTTTGTTACAAAAATTTAGCTTTTTAATACTTCCATCTTCCTTTGGCTAAAATCTGAAAACATAAAAGTTTGCTCTATGTAAAACATAGAATGACCTTTTTTTATGTTTTCATGACACAAGTGAATTTTTACCCAAAGTTAATAAATATGAATGAAATGTTTAACATTTTTTTTCTATTTTTTAACATAATGTTGCATGCAATAGAAAGATTTAAAAAAATCCTTTAACAATATATTATGTTTTTAATTAAAAAATTATCAGAAACTTTGGTTAGCCCATAGTTTAGAAAGAAAAGATTTGCAAATAAAAAAGAAAAATTACATTTAATATCTTAAAACCAGCTACACAATTTTCTATAAATTGTAGAGAACAAGTTAATCTTTTTTTTTTTAATTTCATTAATTTTATTATAATATTTTTTACTAATGTTCATAGTGTCATGAGTATTTTACTTATCATCACATTTTATAAATTATTCTATATATTTTATTTTATAAAATAACATTTTAGCATTTTATTCAGCTTATAAATTATAATATAATTTATAAGCTTATAAATTATAATATAATTTATAAGCTTATAAATTATAATATAGTTTAATTAGTAATGATTTTACCTCTTGATATTTTCTATTTATGTTTTAAATAATAAATTTAAAATATTAATGGTTGTTTTTCCAATTATTAGGCAAATTACAAACTCTCAACATTTTCCAAACAATTAAAATAAATTGTTTTTACAAATCCTTTTTTTTATCATTACAACAAGCCAATTAAATAATTTTAATTAGAAGTAAAAATACTGAACTTTTAAGCTACTAAAAACATATATAGAAAAAGTAGAATAAGATTAACAACAAAAGATTTCTATTTTTGTAGACTCATAAAATGAAACAAATCTCACTTAGAAATTTTTGCTTTAATATCCCACAAATTAATATTTCCATCAACATCACCAAGCACTAACATTCCACACTTCCAAACTATGGAAGAAATAGCACTCATTCCTGCCTGAAAATAATTTAAAAATTTTTTAGAATCAATATACTTTTAAACAAAAACATTTAAAGAAAAAAACATGTATTAAGTAGTAAATTATTAAAAGGTGTAAAAACTTCATTTTGTGAAAAAAAACAACCTCTGGTTTAAAGTTTAAAGAAAAAAACCTACGTATTAAATAGTAAAGTATTAAAAGGTGTAAAAACTTCATTTTGTGAAAAAAAAACCTCTGGTTTAAAGTTTAAAGAAAAAAACCTACATATTAAATAGTAAAGTATTAAAAGGTGTAAAAACTTCATTTTGTGAAAAAAAAACCTCTGGTTTAAAGTTTAAAGAAAAAAACCTACGTATTAAATAGTAAAGTATTAAAAGGTGTAAAAACTTCATTTTGTGAAAAAAAAACCTCTGGTTTAAAGTTTAAAGAAAAAAACCTACGTATTAAATAGTAAAGTATTAAAAGGTGTAAAAACTTCATTTTGTGAAAAAAAAACCTCTGGTTTAAAGTTTAAAGAAAAAAACCTACGTATTAAATAGTAAAGTATTAAAAGGTGTAAAAACTTCATTTTGTGAAAAACAAACCTCTGGTGGAACTTTTGATCCATCTTTGAGAGATGTACCTTCAATCACATAATGATAAATGGTGCCTTCACTATCACAAAACACCAAATGTTCTTTCAGATGAATCTGAGATTATTTATAAATAAGAAAAACAACAAAGAAAATATAAAAGCAACAAAAACTTTATTCAATTAAAATAAACAGAAGTTAAAAAAACCTTTTGGGCTTTTGATGAATCTTGTACTTCTAAAACACTGGAAGCTGATTCTTGAAGTTTTGACAAACTTATATGACTTTCTGTGTTATCTTCTTTAATAGAATGGTTTGTTTTTGAACCATTTTCTGCATTTTTTGATACATTTTTTCCAAATCTACTATTAGATGGTGACCACTCCTAAATGCATGTAAACTTTTAACAATTTACTGTTAAAGAAATTTAATAGTACTGGAAGCTATTATTTTAAAACCTAGAATCTGTTCCCTAATTAAAAAGATGCATAAAAACTAGGTACAAAAGTAACAAATGACAAAGCTCCTATACTTTTCTCACTAAATAAAATTTTAGAAGTTTTTGTAGCTCTAAGACACCAGTATTCAGGTATAAAAAATACTTGGCTTTAAACTCTAGAGTTTTTTTTTGGGACTTTCTGATCAAATTTAACTGAGAAACTAATATCTTGTATTTTATAATATTTGAAAATTTTAAGTTGTAAATTAAATTATTCTTTAATTTATAAAATGTTCACACACTTAAGATCACCTAAAGGAGTCCATAGTAGTTTATGTCACATGCTCCTTAAACATAAGATTTATGTCCATAGTGAAATATGCAGCCTTTGTTATACTAATCTCATACATCCTACTACCTGTCATCTTATCTATCTTGAATTTTTATAAATGACCTATATATAAAAAAGATACCAGCACAATTACAAAGAAAACATATTAAATCTCTTTGGAATCAATAGATAGTACAAATATAATATTACAAGTAAAAATAAAAAAGTATTCAAAGAAAGGATATATATGTATTTAAATACATATATATCTTTGCATGTGTGTGTATATATATATATATGTATACAAGCTTTTCCAGGAAGCATGCGTGGTTGCACACCTTGTTCATACACATTTAAAGTAATTTTTTTAGATACAGAGACTTGCATTTTTTAACTTTTAAAGCATTTCAATAACTCGCAGCAAAAAGCTGAACTTATCTACTGAGAAAAAAGTATATACTAAAATAAGGAAACAAAATTGTAACGAAAACTCAAATTTTAATTAAATAAACTAGAAAAATTTAATAATTAAAAAAAGAAAATTAAATTTTTTTTTTTTTAATTTTTATATAACTTTTGTATCCATTTTTTAAAAGTGGTTGCTATTTTTAGCTTCAGACTTTGATACAAGACAAGGATAAAACATATATTATAACAATTTAACAACAATTGAAAATTTTGATAAGCAATTTATTTACAATTTTTATCAGTCTGTATAATTAAGAAAATAATTTGCTATGTACGCTAGTACTATAAAAAATTTTTTTTTTATTCTTACGTTTATTCATTTATTACATTTATTTGTGTTTATGTCTTTTCGTTTTTAAAAATATTTTTGCTATATTCGACTTTTTTTCTTAAGACTTATAGAATAAGAATAGAAATATTTAGAATAAATTGCTATTTAATTGTAAAATATATTATTTGATTAATAAATTTTGTAAGGACGTGAAAATAGAATGATTTCTTTATATATATGATGCTTGTCTGAAATTGTTTCTTTTATATTGGAAAAAATATATAGACTTTTAGTCTATATATATTTACTTTTTTAAAATTTTCTATAAATTTTTATGGAAAGTTCAGTGAATTAACAATTAGTGCACTAGCCCACAAGCTTTTGAAGCATTGTCAATAACAATAGTTCATCAGAAAATAAGCTATCGGGTTTAATTGCACAATTTGTCCATGCTATTTTTAAAAAAATTTGTGCTTTGTTACATAACAACATATATATATATATATATATATACATATATATATATATATATATATATATATATATATATATATATATATATATATATATATATATATATATATATATATATATATATATATAATACATATATAAAATAAAAAATAAAAAGAATAATAAAATGAATAAAAAATTAACTAGAAAAAATAAAAGAATTAAATTAATACATGTTTTTAATTTAATTTAAAGGTGTTTCACTACAAAAAATTTAGAAAAAATCAAACTCAAAAAAAAAAAGTTTCAAAATTATATAATTCTTTATTACTTAATTACTTTGAAACTTAATTATTTAAAAATTTGAAACTATTCTATTTAAAAATTTGAAACTATGAAAATTTTCTAATATTTACACAGCAAATAAAACCTTAAGTTAGATTTGAATCCTTGACCAATGCCGATATAACAGTCGTGCCTCATAAACGACAAAATTTATCAACCCATGTGTTACACCAATGTGGCAATAATAAAGAGAATATTAAAGAGAATGTTTAAAATGTTTGGGTTGAATTTTTTGAGTAAAATAAAATAACAAACGCTTTACAAGAAAAACTAACTTTGGATTTTTACTTGAAGCTTGCTATCTCCATGTTAGCATGCTGTTTTAAATCCGCAATCTACAGACTTTATAATATATTTAAGTGCGTTTAATTCCAAAGAGTTTCAGTATTAAAAATAACGTCATTGCAAGATTTTTTTATTTTTTTTAAATCAATTTTTTTTTATCAATATAATTTGTTTTTTAAAATAAGCGTTTATCATCAATGGTTTGACTTTTCTATAAATTTTATAGGAAGATAAAATAATAAAATAATAATTTTTTATAGAGTGAAAGAACCAAATAAAATTTAGATCTTTATGATTTACTCTTAAATATATTAAATGTATAAAATATATAAAAATATAATAAATATAATAAATCTATAAAAAAGACATTAATTTTACACCTAATTATATATTTCAAATAATATTTCTTTTTATGTAAACCTTTTTTCTAGTTTATTTTAGCCGTTTATTGCTGACATTTTTGTTCCCCTATCCAAATGACATTTTAAAAATACTTAAATATTTAATTAATAAATAATTTTGGTAAACAACCTCATTTATTAGAGATATGTGCCAAATTCTTTAATTTTGAGTGACAAAATATTTATAGAATTTCTATTTAACACATTTATATCCAACTTTTTATTATTTAAAGCAATAATTAATATTTTATGGCAATAATTCAAGACAGATGGTCTTGCAGCGTGTGTTAAAAAACATATTTAATATTTCTCAATTTATATTGTATTTGGCAAGTATTTTACATTAAAACCTGAGTTTTTACATTGACACTACAAATAAAAAAACTACCAAAATTGACAATAAAAAGTTTTTCATAAAACGATTTCAATTCTAAAACTGACTCAATGATGCTACACTTTATTTGCAATCTTTAGCAATAATTGTTCAATTTTAAAAATAAAATAAGCAATAGATGTTTTACAGAATAAGTTTCATTAAACATATTTTTGCATGATGAAATAAGAATTTCAAGAAAAGTTTATCCTTTTATAAGGTTAAATAATACAAAATAGTTTTTTTTAACAAAATCTTAATAAGGATAATAATCATTTAATAACAATAAATATAACACATAAAAATTTAATAAATATAACACATAAATAGTTTTTTGGAATAGACAAGCTCAAAATTCCTGAAATATTTTATTCATATTTTTAATATAAAAACTTCACAAAATTTAAAAAACAAAATAACTAAAGAAATTCTACAGTAATTTATGATGAAAAAAAATCTTTTATATAATAACAAGTAACTAAACAAATTCTTTAGTAATCTATAATTTAAAAAATTCTATTATTTGAAGAAAAAAAGAATTTTATTTAGATTTAGAAAAAGAAATTTTATTTAGATTTCTTATCGAAATTCTACAATGATATCATATACTATAACTTTGAAATGAAAAACGTGCTTTAATAAACTATAACGTTTGTAGATTGGGGCGTATGTTTTAAATACTTAAAGCAACATCCTGACATGGAGACAATGAGCTTTGAGTAAAATTACAAAATTGAGTAAAACTACAAATTTGAGTTAAACTTTTTCTTGGCATCTTTATTATTTTGTCTTACTTTCAAAAATTTGAACATTTTTTTTTTTTATCATTCTCTTTAATATGAGCTCAACTTGTCTCAGCACTTTGTGATCCCTTTAAACTATTAATATAAACGCTTTTAAATCAATTGTTGAACTTTTAGTGTTTAAATTCTTAATTTTCTCTTTAAATTTGTTTGGTTTTTTCAGCGTATTTTTTAAAACAGGCAAATTATCAATGTGCAAAAAACCATCTTCTAAAAAGGCTTTATACATTTAAATTAAGAATAACACTTAAAATTTACAAAGAAATTAAAAGTTAAGATAGATGTTCTTTTTATGTTATTATTTATTTATCTTTTATTTTTAATGCTATTTTTTTGTCTACTTATAAAACCTTTAGCAGCATCTTTTTGCTGCTAAAGGTTTTAAACATAGACAAAAAAATACTAAAATTTTGAAATAGTAAAGTGAGGAAATAAAAATAATCAATTTTTAAAATGTAAAATGAGTACATACAAAAATAAATTTTTAAAGAACTAACCAATAAGGATTTCTTAAGAATGCAGAGTTGATGTGATCAAAAATGAATAAAAATAAAAAAAACGCCTATTTTTCGATAGGAAAACAGGGGGTACCGCCACCCAAATTTTTTTCCTAGAATAGGCCCTGAATGCATATGGGCAATTACACTATATATGCAACAACTTTATTATATATTTGCCTAATTAAACTTTAAATTAAACTTTTAGCTATTTTGTTTGAAAGCTATTAGTCTAAAGAATAAAATAAGCTAAAAAGTTTTAAGCCTAGCCAAAAGAGGACAAACTTATTACTGAAAATGTCACTTAACTTACGTTACACGGAAAACAAGGTAAAAAAATTGCTTTAACTTTTAGGTCAGATTTCTGCAAATCAGTAAAGTAATTTGTATCAGAAACTTTTACAAGATGTTGAAAATTCTATACCAATTTAAAAAAATATAAAAACTTATCTGAGGTGATTATCTTAGGTGATTAACTTATCAGAGGTGACCGGCTAAGGAAAATAAACTGGTTTTTATTATACTATATATTTAACTTATGTTACATCACTTATATTTCCGAGCGATTATTATCGTGGATTTTTTATATCTATTATTAAGTATTAGAATTACGTAACAAAAGTATTGAAAATTTTTCATTAAAAATAATTAACAATGAAAATTTTAAAAAACTGATGGCACTCTTCCACACTCTGAGTGATTTTTCATAACATTTATGTAAGTTATCAAATCGAAAACAGTTTCTCCACAAGACACTTTAAAAAATTACTTTAGTATTACAACTTTATTAATATTTTTTTAAGTTTAAATAAGAAAATCTTTGGTTTGTCGAAGTTTTTAATTACACACTTCTTAAGTTTATGATGTATTGCCTTATTTTCATTAGGTCGAATTTTTAAAATGCTGCAAAATATTTACATTTATATTTTTTTAAATATTTTTGACATAAAAACTGCTATCGCAGTTTTGGAAGGAGGTTCAGGTAATGTGATAATACATGTCACATTATGAGTTGCCCATATATATATGTATATATATATATATACATATATATATATATATATATATATATATATATATATATATATATATATATATATATATATATATATATATATATATATATATATATATATATATATTTATATATTTATATATATATATATATATATATATATATATATATGTATATATGTATATATGTATATATATTATTAAAGTATATTTAACTATTTCATCAAAAGGTATATTTTTATTAAAATGAGATTTTTTATCTTTTTTTTAAATTTTAGCATACTAAAAAAATTTAACTTAATGATCTACCATGGATGATGTTATTTCCTTTATATTACAAAGCTGCATATAAAAAAAAAAGATCTTTTCATAGATGATCTTGAAAAAATGATCTTTTTCATCTTTTCATAAGTGCAAAAATGGTCTTTTCATAGAAAACAGAGTTTGATGTGAAGGTTCCGAATCGTCATGGCTTATATAAAAAACCAAATAATTTAGTAACTGATTTTTTTAATTCAGCATTGATTTTTCGACAGAAAATGAAAAGAAGCAATTTTTATATCATCCAACTGTTGTATCCAGTTTTACAATCATATGCAGCACACTTTTAATTATGATATGAATATACTTTTTTCATATTTATCAATTTTATAAAATAGAAATACACACACATATGGCCATATAAGTTTATTTGTATTTATAGTTTATAGTGGAGAATTTTCACCCACTTTAAACTAATACTTTAGTTCAGGTTTAAAGTTTAAAGGTTTCTCATATTGCGCTATCATTTTTTTTCAAAGCATAAATAGACTCTGAGAATTGGCCTCTAAAATGTAACATACACAAACATGTATTATAGTAGACCTCCTACCTTTGTCTCTTATTATAATTAACTCACACAATAAAATAAAACACCTTACATCCAAGTAAAACGTGTTTAAATTCTGGGGATAGTATTGGATACCAAATATCTGCACTATAAATTTTTAACTAGAGAAGATTAAAACTTTTAATTTTTTTTATTTCAACAGATTTTGGGTTTATTTTAGTATAGAGGGTTTTATTCATGTTCTTTGAAAAGTCAACAATAGTTAATTGATATTAAAAATAATTATATCCAATTGTAGTAGCCAAATATGATAAATGTCAATACATGATTATAGTTATAGCAGATTTTATAGTAGCAAATACTAGTTACGCAGATTTGCACTATCCCCGACAATATACTTCCCCAACAATATACTTCCCCGACAATATACTTCCCCAACAATATACTTCCCCGACAATATACTTCCCCAACAATATACTTCCCCGATAATATACTTCCCTGACAATATACTTCCCCAACAATATACTTCCCGACAATATACTTCCCCGACAATATACTTCCCTGACAATATACTTCCCTGACAATATACTTCCCTGACAATATACTTCCCTGACAATATACTTCCCTGACAATATACTTCCCTGACAATATACTTCCCTGACAATATACTTCCCCAACAATATACTTCCCTAACAATATACTTCCCTGACAATATACTTCCCTGACAATATAATTCCCTGACAATATACTTCCCTGACAATATACTTCCCCGACAATATACTTCCCTGACAATATACTTACTATATAGTCTGACATAAATTATTTTATTCTATCAGATAAATATCTGATAGAAAATCAAAATGCTTATATTGAATTTGAGTCATAAAAGATAAAAACAAAAAAACTTACAAAAGCAGTAATGCGAGGAAACTTATTAGGAAATTCTCTCAACTGGCACAGAGTCACAGCATCCCATAGTTCAGCACATTGGTTTTTGTATAGAACCAGGAAATATTGCCTTAACAAAAACAAAATAGCAATAATAGAAAAATACTTTTAATAATAACAACAACAATATTAACATCTTAAAAATATAGACTTATATATTTATTTTTGTGACAACAAATTTAGTGTTGAAGTTATTATATGAAATGTAAATGGTTTTCTTAAGCAACTTCTGTTATGTGAGCCTAAAGAAATTTGTCACAAATTGCAGTTAAAATTGCATGATTAAAATTTATGGTTCAACTAGGATTGGCTAATTTTTTTTTTATTGCAAAAATTAATGCTACAGATATTTGGAAGACAACCCTTTAACTTTATTCTAATTTAAATGTTTATAAAAACTAATGACTTTATAAAAATTCTTTATCAATTAAATTTAATTAAATCAATTAAATTAAAACATCTTAGTTTGTACTGATGTTAGTTTAAAAAAAGGGTAAAATCGAATAATGTAACACATTTGATTTTGTTAATTAGCACTTAAACACTCATTTATTGCTATGAATTGTCACTCTTGCCAAAAAAAATTATTGCTATTAGCAAGCACTCTAACCTCAAACATTTCTACAGCTTGTAGTCCTGACAACATACCTGCTATAGTCTTGCAGACGTGTTCTCCAAAGCTGTTGTCTATACTTTCAAAACTATGTAACAAGTGAATATCAGAGTTTTGTTTTCCAGTCTGCTGGAAAGCGGCATCTGTTATCCCTATTTTCAAAATTTTTTCTTATTATGAGCAACACTCAGAACCAGGAAAAATGAGGTTGGCAATAAATGGCTAACCTCAAACTGTAAGGTGTTGGCACCAAGTCAGCAAAAAGTTTTGATACAAAGAGGTTTCTAAAAAATATATAGAAACAAGGTCAGTGATTTTTTTTGCTGACCTCAAACACTTTAAGGTTGGCAGTTAGGTCAGCATTGCTGACCATAATTATGTGTGCTGCATAAGCAAGGTTTTGAACATTTAATTAAGAAACACTTAATGTCTCATCTTGAGTCTAATAACTTACTTTCCAATCATTAATATGGATTTTGGTCTTATTGTTCTACTGTTGAGTTGTTTACAATAATAACTGATAGGTTTTATTGTGCATTAGATAGATGTGGAGAGGCTAGGGCTATTGTTCTTAACACTTTTAAAGCCTTTAAAAAATTTGGCATGCTATACTTTTTTTAATTTACATTAATGATTTCCCTGAAATTCTCACATCTAAGGTGGCATGGTTCGTCGATGATACTCCCATTTATTCTTGTCTTGATAAGAAGCCAACACTCTCTGATTGCTTGGATAGGTGAACTTTAACTCAGATAAAACTCAATTTTTTTTGGCTAATCATTATTGCAACAATCTAGATCTTCCTATATTTATGAACAGTAATGTAATTGATGAGTCATCTACACTTCGTCTTCTAGGATTAACTCTCACTTCTGATCTTTCTTAGAAACCCTTTATAAAATCCATTGCAAAATTAGCATTAGCTAAGGCTGCATCTTTTTATTGTGCTTGCCAAAATCTAACCTGGGATTCTATTTTTTATCTCTATAAACCTCAAATCCTTCCTTTTATGGAATACTGTTGCCATATCTGGGTGGATCTTCCAATGATACCCTTTCTCTTTTAGACAAAGTGCAAAAATGCATTGTAAACATAGTTGGATCTGCTCTTAATAATATACTTTATTATTGAAACAATTTTCAATAAATATCTACAAATAGCATAGTATTTGCTACTTAAACTACAAATAAATGTGTTTAGGTTTTTCAAATAGATAAAAAAGGCAAAATTTGACATGTATTATATAAGTGTCTAGGCCAAAAATTTTTCACCAACATTTGACTGCATTTAACACAATATTTAACCACATATTGTAATGAATCAAGTTAACTAACATTATTACACACATTTTATTTGTTAATGCTCATACTTACTAATATGAAATTTTTAATATTGAGTTATAAGTTAGTGGCAACATTATTCAGCCAGAATGACCTGTATATTATATTGCATAATTTATGTTAAGCAACAAAGTGTTTTTGAAAATTTAGGAAATATGAAATATGATACTTAGTCATGGTCAAGTTGATTTCATCAAGAACTTGAAAAAGCTTTTTTGAATATACTAAAAATATTCTTGGATAGGAGCTATCCAAGAATATCTTTAATAGAACCTATATGTTCAAAAAAGCAATGTATGGTCTTTTTATACAAAAAACAAACAACAAAAAGCAAAAGAAATTATCCAATACAATACTTAATGCATGATGTTTACTAAAAGTTGATTGATAAGTGGATCCATGGTAATGCTTTTTTTTTTGTATCCTGTAACACATATAGTACATTATATAACTGCAGCAATAGTGGTCTAGTAGAGCGCTGCAATCTGGTTGCAAGCTTAAAAGATAAAGATAAATTTGTAGCTGTTGCTTGATATACTGAATTGTAATTAACAAATTATTTCTCGCCAAGAGAAAACCTATTTGACAAAATGTAACATTGAAGCCCACAGTGACTGCAGGGGGGAAAAGAAAAAGAAAATTTCAAAAGAGTTTTTATACTAGGATTTGATTTTGATTTTTAGTTTGTTTTAATAAGATTAATGCATTTGAGTTTTTAATAATAAAGTTTTCGATAAAACCAGTTATTTAAGTTAGGCTTCTAATTATTATATTCTTATTATCAAAATTATCTATCAGGGCTCGAATTAATGCAAAAAAATCTAATCGCGAAAAAAAAAAAGTAATATGGGGGGGGGGGGGGGGAAGAAGTTGCGTTAGTATATAACTAAAAGTTTAAGTTGCAGTTGTAATAAGCAATAACGTTTTTAATACTATTAAGATATTCCTTTAAGTATTTTTTTTACTCAAATAAAATATATACTTAAAGAAAAATATAAGTAAATATAAGTATCATTATACTTAAAAAAGTAAAAGTAAAAAAGTAAGAGAAAAAGAAACATTGTAATATCTAAACCACTTTAATTAGTCAAAGAAAACTATTTAACACATTCGTGCTGATGTTAAAACACGTGTTAATTTTAAAAAGTATTTAACTGTTAAAAGCTATAAAACAACATTAAAACAAACTGCAAAGTTGTTTTAAAAATATAAAGAGCTTGGGTAAAAACAGCGTCACGAGTTTTGTAAAACAAATTCGTGACGCTGTTTCGTGTTGATTTATACAATTTATAAAATAAAACGTGTTTAAAATAAAAGGAAGCAAATAAATAAAATTGATCTAGTTAATAAACTAAAACAAAACTTCATATTTGCGCCCATAGAGCTATACGAGTTTATAATATATGGAACAAACGAGTAAGATCAAAGCATAAAAACATTAGATACCACGTCTTTTATAAATTATCGTTTCCCGATTAAGCATACGATTAAAAATTTAAGAATAAATAAAGTTTTTCATTTAAATGGTTTTTAAACTGATGTTTTCATTCAATTTTTTTTCAATATATTGACGAATTATTGAAAGAAAACTATCTTTACTACTTACTTTTTACGTTTCTTACTTAAGTTTATAAATAAGAAAATTAAAAAAAAATGTAGCTATTAATACATTAAGATATTAAAACCTTTATAGCTATAAAGTAAACATGGTAAATTTGAATATTTAAAATACTTTTGATAGATTAAGTTTTTAAGCAACAATTTAAATATAACATATAAACATTTAATATGTTTCATTAACACATAAAGGTTTGGTATGTACCATTAACACATAAACATTTGGGAGTTATTTTATTTTTTGACATTTATCAATAATACCTTTCCCAATTTTGCTAAGATTTATTTTATTTTCTGCCAATTGTTGTTGTTTTTTAAATACTTTGTCATGAAAATTGTCGACTTATCTTTACTTTTGGTTGAAGTAAAACCTTATTCAAACCTTCAAAATTATTTATAAAACATTTTTATTGGTATTCTGCATTTATTTGGTATTAATTTTACCTTATTCACTCAATAATAATATTACAGTATTTAACTGCTATTAATTTTATTGTATTTACATGCTATTAATTCTACAGTGTTTAACTGGTATTGCTTATTGCTTTATTGATTTTATTGCTTAAATCTTATATATCATTTAATAACCTTTTAAATACCATGACAAACCGTTTGGAACCTTTTGAAATAAAAAACTTTTTATGTCTCTTTAAAACAGCAAATTTTTAAAAGCTATATTTAGTCGTTATTTTTTTAGGAAAAAAAAACAACAACAACAACAAAAACGCTGCAATAAGTTTGTAGAAAATGAAAATTTTATTTAAATGAAAAAAAATCAATAATTAAAAAATAGAAAAATTACTTCAAAAAAGAAGCTTTGAGAGATGCTATGGTGGACTGCTTTAAGCCATTTGTACTAGGTAGTGATTTACTTTGACCTAAAAATTATATAAAAAACTAATATAAACCTTTTGTGCTGTCTTTTATAAAATATTTTTAATGTTATGATTAGCATCATTTGTTATAATAATTGGATTAATTACTAATCAATTCAACTTTTATGCATAAATAAAAAAATAATTACAATTTATTTTTTGATTTAAAAAAAAACCAACAAAATATTTGCAACTAAAAAGCTTTTAATTTATAAAAAAAAAACTTGAAAATAAAATAAAAAATAAAAATTAATCATTTACTTTAAAATCAAAAGTTTTCATAAATTTTATATCATTTAAAATTTGTTAAATTTCAAGTCTATTAAATATTTTGTCATTCTATGATTGTATTATCAGAAGATATCCTGGGTGTCATCTGAGAAATTGTATAAGTTACACTTTTTTCTCTTTTTGTTAACATCATCATTTTCAACAAGGCTGCAAGCAAACACTAATAGAGTTTGAAGTTATTGTAAAAAAAATTATAATGAATTTTAGTAAATAAAACAAGAGACGCTAGCTTTTTAGAGCAGTGCCCATTATAGTATTTATAGAAAAGAGAAAGAGAAGCAACATTATGACTATGTAACAATGGTTGGAGGTTGGCTGCAAGAGCAGGTTTAGCTGTGTTTTTGCACTTTGCGTCAAAGAGAAAGGGTATCATTGGAAGATCCCCCTTAGATATGGCAACAGTATTCCATGCAAGGCAGGATTTAGAGATAAAAAATAGAATTAGAAATAAGAAAGTGGCAAGCACAATAAAGAGATGCAATCTTAGCAGATGTTAATTTTGCAATCGATTTGATATATGGTTTCTAAGAAAGATTGAAAGTAAGAGGTAATCCTAAAAAATGAAGTGTAGATGACTTATCAAGTACATTACTACCAAAGTGTAGATGATTCATCAAGTTCATTGCTTCAGAAATGTTTAGAGTAATAGCCTTAACTTCTCCACATCTATCTAATGCACGATAAAAACTTTCATTTATTACTGTTAGCAAATCAGCGGTAGAATAAGAAGATCGAAATCCATATTGATGATCAGAAAGTAAATTATTAGATTCAAGATGAGAGATTAAGTGTTTGTTAATTAAAGGCTCAAAAAACTTGCTTATGATAGGAAGAAGACTAATGAGGTGGTAGTTAGACAAGACAGATCGTTCTACATAAAATTTAGAAATCAAGATAACAAATGCTGCCTTTCAGTAAGCTGGAAAAAAAAAGACCCTGAGAAGCACTTGTTAAATAGCTATGAAAGTATAGGCGACAACTCCGGAGAAAACCCCTGCAAGACTATAACAGGTATGTTGTCTGGACCACAAGCTGTAGAAGAGCCTTAGCAGGAAACCACTTAAGATACAGAAGCTGGAGTGCTGCAAGCGTCAAGCAATGAATAAACCTGCTCGTCAGCTATATCAGGTAGAACACAATTAGTGGAAGAGATGATATTGATGAAAAGTTCTTAGTAAACAATTCAGTTTTGTCTTTAAGTGAGGTGACAAAATCTGAACTATACAAGAGAGGTGGAACAACAGATTTGGGCTTATTATAGATCCTATTAAAGATTCTCAAAAATCACTGATGAAATACGAGATTTCATTATCTCAGAATAGCGGGCTTTTCCATTAGAAAAAACAATTTTAGAACGGTTTCTAGCAGTATAGTAAACAGATATCTGGTTTCTGGAGAATTGTTTTGCTAATAGATAATGGTAATTATCTATTTACCATATACCATTGTAAATTACAGCAGTAAATTACATTATTAGTAAATTAAGTATACCATATAGTAAATTACATACCATATAGTAAATTACATACCATATAGTAAATTACAAATTAAGTACACCAAATAGTAAATTACATATACCATTGTAAATTACAGCAGCACAATGTGAAGAAAACCATGGTGGAGTGAGGCTTCACTTGGAATTGTTGAGAGGAAATATAATATACCATGCCAGTCTGAATCCAAGAAGTTATATAAGAAGCAAATTTGTCAGTAGGAAGATAAAAAATTTCTACCCAAGGACCATCATGAAGAAAATCATGGAAAGAACCCCAGTCAGCTTTAAGGTAGTAGTAAAAAGTACAATGATAGGGGGATTCTGATGATGAAGAAGAATGTGATAACAGTTTTAGAGAGATCAAACTCTGATCAGAAGCACCAAAAGGTGAATGTGGAGAAACTGAGCACTGACTATCAGAAACAAGTCAAGTAGAGAAGGTAAATGATTCAGATTGTCAGGAAAGCAATTTGGAAAGTTGACTATTTGTGTTAGAGATTAAGAGTCACTGACACTAGAGCCAAGTCATTCAGTGTGATGAGCATTTATGTCACTAACAACAACTTAATATCTTAAAACAGCAAAAATTATGAAACTTTATGCTTAGATCACACTCAACTGTGATTCAACTTTATGCTTAGATCACACTAATCTCAGTATAATATAAGAATTTTAATGAGAGAATTTATAAAAATTTAATTGTCATTAGGGTTTCCAAATGTTCTATTAAAAAAACTTTAAATTTTGCTGGAAAACTTGCGTTTAGGCTTTTTTTTTTTGCTTTTTAAATTTTTTTGGATTTTTTAATGACTTAAACAAGAGTTTAAGCAAAATAAAGCAAAAATTTGAATAAAGCAAAAAACAGAAAACCTTGAAAAAATGTACAATTTTTCTGTTAAGCCTGCATCAACAGATGTCGAACGCATTGTTTCGAGCTGTACACGAGTTTCTGCACAAAAATCAGATCTTTAGTTTTCTTAAAATGTTTTTACAATAAAATTTTATTTTAAGTTTTATTTCAAAATATAAACAAAATGTCAGAGGTTTTTCTTGTTAAATTATAAAACTTATGTAAGTTTATCTTGTTTATTTAAAAAGTTATTTAAACAAATTTTTAAAAAGTTATTTAAACAAATTTTTAATAACTTTTTTAATAAAAAACGAAAGATAAACTTACATAAGTTTTATAATTTAACAAGAAAAACCAAAAATCACTGTTAACGGCGTTTTGTTTTTAAATTAAAACCAAAACCGCGGTTTTTTGGAACCCCTAATTGTTATAAAATTTATTTAAAAAATGATTATTACCAGATACTACATCTAGATGAACTATTTCACTTTTGTTTGTTCCGGAGCTTCCATTAAAATACACCAACAAAGATGTAAGATTTAGCCATTCAATACCTTTTATATTTTGGTGTAAAAGAGTAAATGTCTTTAACAAAGATCCAAAAGAGGCATTGTAAATTTGCAAAATTCCACTACCGCAACCTAGATAACCATAAACTTTATTTAATATTAAACTTTAATTTAAATATGAAAAATTTTAATAAATAATTAACTAAAAAATTATAACCTAAGGCTAAATGAGGTTTATAAAACTCAATATTTTTTGTAGTCATTGGAAGACACATATTTGCACATACAGGATTTGATGCAATTCCTTCAAATATTCCTTCTAACAAAAATTTTGGCTTTTGATAAAGTGTTTTTTTACTGACTTCTTCAAAGTTGAGTAACAAGGGAAATACTTTTGATAATGTAAAATCTCCTGTAAAGCTATTTATATTTTCTGTTTCTTGTAAGTTCGGAAGTTTTTCATTCAAAACTTGGGCACTTTCATCTGCTTTTATAAAAAGTGACCAGAACAATATCTTACCGTCACTTAACACAAGAGCAGTCTGAGTTTCAAGAATTGGATTTAAACAAAAACCCATTATACGAGATGCTCGACTTAATCGAAAAACATCTGAATGACACTTAATATCATAAACCACATCTAATGATATACGACTAGCCAAAACTTGCTCAGGATCATCTTCGCTTTCATATGGAACGCTGTTGGGAGTACGAATAACTCTAACTGAAATCGATCCATTATCATGTAGTAAATACAATATATCTCTCTGATAACATGGTATAACAGAATAAAATGAAGGGCTGTTTGATTCAATGCAAAAATTACCAATAGCTTGACCAATCTCCATGTCAAGGATTAGTATTTCATATGGAAATAGAAGCAATGCATGGTGGCGATTAGAAGGAAGGTAAGTCACTTGCATACAGTCACTAGTTGATAAAGTCTCTTCATCTTCCACTCTAAAAAGTAAAAAATATAATAAAAACTAAAAATTAAAAAAAAAAAAAGTTAATTACTTCAAAATTCTTTAAAAAGAAAATTACTCACTTTAAATGAGAAAATTACAAACCTCCCCCTTAAATCTTCTGCCCATGATTTTACTTTTTGAAATGTTGACTTCGTTGGTGAAAAGGTTTTAGATAAAGTTGAACTACTTGCATCTTTGGTTGTAGAGGGACTTGAAGTGTTTTGAATATAAAACTTTCTACCTTTTTCTATTGGTGGTTTTCTAATGTCTAGTTCAGTAATTAGCATTATCCATTCATTGCACATTACTAAAATAAATAACAAATAAAAAAAATGACACAACACAAACAAATGTTTCAAATTTAACAATTTAAAAACATTTTTTGGAAGGAAAATATTAAACTGTCACCTTTTACTGTCATTTTATTTCAAAAAATCACAGTATAAAGTGATGTTGCACCAAGCAGCACATCTTGTAAAAAAAAAAACCTTTAACTCTTTCATGTCTTACTTAAAAAAGAAAAACGTTACATTGTCAACCTCTACTGCCATTCTATTGGTGACTAATGTTTTTTTATTCAAATAAGACAGAAAAGCTAAGGCAATTTTTAATTTCCTAGTACCAGAGATGTTAGTCCTTGGCCTTGCCTTTAGGCCAAAAATTAAGACCTTGAAACTGTTTGCCTTAGCTTTGATTATGGTCTTAAAAATTTCCACCTTAGCCTTGATTGTTTTGGCCTTAGCCTTCAAAAAAAAAAAAAATACATAAAATTAAAGAATTAAAAGTTTTCATTCTTTATTTTTATGTAATTTTGTTTTCAGCTTATATATATCTACAAGTATGTTTTCTTATTGATTTCGTAGAATTTTGGATTGCCTTGGTTTATTTTTACATGAGGTTTATTGTATCAGCAATTGTTACCTACAGTTTTATTAACAATTGGCTTAACATTAGGCAAAAGTTTAAATCATTGGTCTTGAAAATGCTTGCATAAGCCTTTGGCTTGAAACTTGTATTTTTGGCTTTGAACTTAAAACTCTTGGCCTTGGCCTTGCTACTTTTGGCCTTGTAAACAACTCTGCCTAGAGCAATATGTTATGCGGATATATATGTCCTAGGGCAATACTACTATTAGAAAGATTACCATGAAAGGAGATTCTTTCTTTACTCATAACTTATTTGGCTTTTTTAATTTAATTCTCTTTAAAATCTCTGTTTTTGAACAGAAAGCCTGTTCTTTCTTTAAAGTTTTGTTCTTTCTATAAAGTTGTTACTTTGTTTAATTTCAAAAGAATTCTTCTTTTCATTGAATCATTTAAACAATCAACTTATAAAGCTTTATTTGGTACAGGACTCCAATCCATTCATATTTCAAAACAATCGCTTGAAAAAGTTGTTACTTAAGAGGACTTGGAAATACTTAATAATTAAGAGGCTTTGGAAATACAGTTTTAAAATACTTCTTAATCAGCAAGTCCATGACATTATTTAAGCATTTTTTAAACTGGAATTATAAAAAATTGACTACGAGAAATGCTCTTCAAATACCTACTACAAGATTCACCAAAACAGTTCCACAAACTAACATCATTCTACATGAGATTGCAGGAAAAATATCCTTTTTTGGAGATTGAGGAATTAAAAATTGCTTGTGTAAACAACCCAAGATGCAATGTAAAACAAAAAGGTGTGCTTTAAAAAAAGCAACATACTTTGTAAGTTAACATGAAAAATCAGCCCAAACATGACATTCGAATCGAGGATTAATAAGATATTTATAGATGTAGAAATTGTAACCAGGAATGAAAAAATGCAACCTTAGCAGATAACTTTCTCAATGAAATTATACTTATACTTTCTAGGTGACGTCAGCAATATAATATATGCAGCAGGATAATATATGACGTCAGCAATATAATATATATCAGCAGGATAATATATGATGTAAAGTAGCTGTTCTTCAATATTCATCAATATAAAAAAATCAACAATTATTAGCAGTAAATGTTTTGTTAGGCTAGGGAGTGGGGATAGGGGGAGGGGAAATCCCCAGCAACTGTAAGCCCAAAGCTATTGCAGTACTCATTTGAGCATGTTTAACACAGCCCTTTTTATTATAAGCAAAGTCAACAAAAGTGTATGCAAATATATAACTTACATAAACTTCAAATTGTTATGTTAAAACATACTAAAACATATATCAAGTATTATATACTTTCACTTGAAAATTGCATTGCAGCAACATCTCCTTACAATTTGATCTGTAGCACTTATTTCCATTTTATAAAGTCATTTATTATTATATAGTTCTAAAACCTTTACTCAATAATATGTGTACTTAGTGGATAGCATGCCAGGATTCTTATGCGGAAACCCTGGTTCGATTCCTACTATTGGCGGTTTTTTTTTTTTTAATTATTCTGTTTCCATTTTTCTAAAATACAAAATAAAACACTTTTGAAGAAAGAAGTTTATTTGGAAAGAAATAAAGTTGTTTTTTTATTTTATTTTAAATAACAAAAATTAAAAATAAAAAAGAAAGTGAACATGCCACACGCCGAAGTAAACTTTAAAATAGTAATACAATTTTAAAAATGTTCGGTAAGTTCATTATTCATGTTTTTTGAAACTTTTACCGATGGTAATTATTTAACACATTTCAAGCGGGCATTCTGAATATTATTTAGACAGGTACTAATATCCAATCTGTTGATAAATAGCGATTTGCGCAACGGCTACTGAAACATTTAAACCTTTTTAAAGTTAATTAAAACAGAAAAAAAAATTTTTATAGCTTTAAAATGTAAACAATAAGTATAGTTTTTCTATGCGTATATAGCTATTTTTCTGCCGCTTACTAAAAAATATTATAAGTAAGAAATAAGTATAGAAAAAGTTGGTGTTAAATAGATTAATTAAGACCTGTATTCTACGGGTAAGGACAGCTACTTAATATAGATAACAACACAGGACCAAATATAAATCTACAGAGAGTTTTGTCTATCAAGGACAACTTTATTACTGTAGTCAGAATAGAATGATTCAATAAGTTTTAAAAATTTCACAAATAGACCATACAAGGCAAGTTTATGAAAAAACCAGCATACCAGACATACAAACATCTAGCCTGGATATACATTTAGGCTTCAATTTACCTATTTTTTCGTAAAATGTTGTTCTCTGAATACTTTTTGTGCTTTTAATTTGCAGCTTTTCACTTAAACACAATTTTGTTTTTTAATGTGTATGTTACGGCATCAGACCTCAGAATTAAAGTCAGAATTTGACAATTTGGATATAAAACTGTTTAAAGTCTGTAAAAAGATTTTAACTCTAAAAGTTTAAGGTCAACAATTTATTTCCAACACTTATTAGGCAATAGCTAGAAGAGTCAGAACAAGATCCAGTTTTATAAAAATTTAAACCACAAATGTCATTTTCCAACAAGCAAGTAAACAAGATTTAATTTAGCACCTAGTAAATAGCTGAGAGAATAATGAAGTGAGTTCTGGAGAACACACTTTCTGGAGAACACCTTTGTAAGATTGTAACAAGCTATCAATAACATTAACTGTGGAGTATAAGTGAGAAATAACTTAAGTAACAGAAGATTTGGATATCGTACAGTGGTTAATATAAATAAAAAGGTAACCATTTATAAAAAAAAATATGACAACAAAATATAAAAACATACTAATCATATTTGAGTTATTGAAAGGATCCACTGCAACCTTTATGATATTTTCTTGAAATGTTTTTTTCCAGAGTTTTACACCTGTATCCGCATTCCACAACACCATAACATTCTGACTATATAATACTAACAGAAGATCATGAGATACATCATAGCCTTTAAGCCATTCCATACAAGTAGGTGATCGGCTGCTCTCAGTAAGCTCACTAATTAAAGTACCCATGCGAACATCCCATATGCTAATAAGACCAGATATATCTCCAGCAGCCAATTGAAGGCGATAAGGAGAATGAAGATCATGATAATAATTCTCTTGACACCATTTTACCTTAAAAAATCAAACAATTAATTCAAATTACATTTAACACAAATATTCCCTATATATCCATAAACACTTATACCATAAATACATGTAAAAAATACCAGGCACATATTTTTTTAAACTGTCTTTTTACATTTTACAAGTAGTACCATGCACATAAATACACATAATTACCTAAGCAGTAAGCACAAACACCTATCAGCTTTTTTTAGAAAAATAAATTGCTTCAAGTGGAAGTACCTTAATTAGACCATAAAACTATAATTTATAAAATTTGAAAATTCCAAATCCTCTTAATTCTATCTTATATAAGGTATGTTCAAGCACACCTTTGTTGGCAAAAATATATCAGTCTGGAAAAACCTCTATACAACTTACCTACATGCACATCATGAATATGCTGTGACAGCCTGGTGCCCTCATTTGAAAAAAGATATTACTAAAATTAAAAAAATACAATGTTGTGCAACAACAATACTTCATGAATTAAAGCATCTTGATTACAAGACAAGATGTGCTAAACTTGGACTAATTTCACTAAGTAACAGAAGAAAATGTGGCAACCTAACCCAAAAATTCAAAATTGAAAACAAAACTAATTTAATCAACTGGCATACTGACCCAATATTCATTCCTCCTATCTATGGTCATCACAAATGCTTTTGTTGCAAAATTAATAGCAATTACCTAGTTTGATTTAACTTTTTAATTTTTAATTAACTGGGTTGCAGATACTTGGAATGCTTTGCCTGATAATGTTACCAATGCCTCGACATTTTCAAAAAAAAACAAACTAGACCAGCAACCATAGTTACCACAGTGCATCCTTTTCTGCAGCTGCGTTATTGCAGCTATAGAAGTTAATAATGAACTTGAAGTTTATTCTGTTCAGTGTAACTTTAATTGTGTGTATATAAGTGTACACTGCAATTGTAATTTATCAAATTAACTTAAGTGCTTTTACATATAATTCATTATGAAACATAAACCAGAATAAGTCATAATGAATTTTTAAAACATGTGTTGGTGCAAAACATTTTTCCATGTATTTTCATATAAAATGAAATAATTTATTTTTAACTTTTATGATTTTTTAGACATGTTTGAGTGCTGTAAATAAGAGTTTTTTTGACTTAAAAGTCAAAAAAACTCTTATTTACAGCAGTGTCTATATATATATATATATATATATATATATATATATATATATATATATATATATATACACACACACACACATACATATTCCTATAATTGGACATCTAAACTTACCTTTTTTGGTAAAAAGCAGTTTGGTTATTTGGTTTATATCTTGGACATATAACAAGACAAAATTAAGTACAGTTTATGTCCATTCAATTTAATTGAGGAATCTAATTAAACTTGATTGCTTTTAAACTTTTTTTTAAAAAACCACACATGCGCAAATAAAAGAGTAGAATGTTTTTAAAAACATACAGAATGTTTTTATTTTATTTTTTTACTGTTTACATACATCAAAAAAATAGATAGAACATGCAAGGAGTGTTGCAACATCGGCTGACAACTAGGTAGAACATGCAAGGAGTGCTGCTACATCAACTGAGGGCAAGTTTTAGGCAGGCAGTCTATCAATTAAAAAAACATATATTTTAATGTTGATAATGCAAACCTGATTGATTTATTCACTTTTATTTAAAAGTGAATAATATATAAAAGTTATATAAAAAAATCTCAATTAAAAACTATTTCAATTATAATTAATTTTTTTTTTTTAATGATTATTATTTTAAATTTCACTACTTAGAAAATGACTTTTTTTTTACTTATAATAAAAAAAATTTTACAAAAATTTTTTCAAAAATTTATTTGAAATGAAATAAATGAATGTGACTTGACAGACGTGACTTAACACATATTCATTAAAAGAATATGTGCTTAAAATATAGAAGCCAATATACAAAATATTTAAATTTCTCATATTTAACCATGTTATGTTTAAAATCTAATTGTATTTTGTAAAATTGTGTTTTATTTTGTAATAGGCATCGAAAATTCTAAAATGAGTTTAGACCCCTTAATTTTACCCTTTGTCCCATTTGTAACCCTTATCTTTTTTTTCCGATTTTATAAACACTCTTTTCACTTTTTATATAACAATAACTCTTAAATAAAAAAATATACAAAAGTACGCATATTTAACCAAGTAATGTTTAAAATCTGATTGATTTATTGATACTGATTATGATAATGATAATGGGTATATAAACCCATTATGATAATAATAATGGGTATATAAACCCAAATAAAAATGGGTAAATAAAGGTATTAAGGAGTAAACAGATTTTATCTGTTGACCAGTCTCGCACCCCTTCTTCATCTATTAGGCTGGCGCAGATGTATTTTTAATACATTGTTTCCAGATTAGGATGTTGAACGCTGGAACTTCTTGACTCAATGCGTGGGTATTGCTTGTGTCTCTATTTTATGACTGGGCAACTCATTCTATTATCTCTTAATGAGGGTACAGCTCTAAAACTCAGTTTTATGGTTCTGAGGCCGGCTGGTAGTCAGGTTTCCCGAACTCTGTGGTAGCTCTCAGAGAGGCTGATTCCATCAACAGCCAAAAAATATCAGAGTACTAACAGTGCCAGGTTGCGCATGGACGGTGTCCCTGTTCGTACTTTTGGTGTGCATTGCCAAGGCCACATTTGGAGCCCTTTGTTACGGCTTAGGGTTTATTAATAGTAATGAGGCTATTGCTTAGTTGTTAAATAGTGTACTGAGTACTATCTATACTTGAGTCAAGTTCTTTATAAATTTAAAATGACTAAAGTACCTAAAACTAAAAAACACAAAAAACCATTGTCATCACCAAGTTCTCTAAACCTATCATTTACTAATATTCGTGGTCTTCGAAGTAACTTTTCTTCTGTTGAGTCTTATCTCTTGCAAAGTTCACCAGACCTACTTGCTCTTTGTGAGACTAATTTGAGTTCGGCTGTCCCATCTTGTCATCTTAGTGTTGATGGTTATCTTCCTTTAATTCGTAAAGACTCCAATAATCACATGCTTGGCCTGGGCATCTACATTCGTAAGAACTCACCCATTTGTCGTGAAACTAGGTTTGAATCTACAGACTATTCTTTTATGTGCTTTTGTTTAGCACCACTTCACTCTATCGCCTTTCTCTTTGTTCTATATCGCTCTCCTTCATCCCAAGATTGCACTATTCTCGATGTTATTTCTGATCAAATTGACCAAGCCCTCTCTCTTTATCCATCGGCCAATATCGTCATTGTTGGTGACTTTAATGCCCATCACACCGATTGGCTTGGCTCTAGTGTCAGTGACTCTGCTGGCGTTAAGGCCCTCAACTTTCTCAATCTCTAACTCAAATAGTCAACTTTCCAACTCGTTTTCCAGACAACCCTAATCATTTACCTTCTCTACTCGACTTATGTCTTGTTTTGGATCCTAGTCAGTGCTCAATTTCTCCACATTCACCCTTAGGTACTTCTGATCACGGTTTGATCTCTCTAAAACTATTATCAAATTCTTCTACTTCATCAGAATCCCCCTATCATCGTACCACATACAACTACCTTAAAGCTGACTGGGACTCTTTCCGTGATTTTCTTTGTGATGGCCCTTGGGTAGAAATCTTTCGTCTTCCTGCTGACAAATGTGCTTCTTACATAACTTCGTGGATTCAGGCTGGCATGGAATCTTTTATTCCCTCTCGACGATTCCAGGTCAAGCCTCACTCTTCTCCTTGGTTTTCCTCACATTGCGCTGCAGCAATTTCTAATCGAAACCGTTACTTCCATATCTATCAGCAAAACAATTCTCCAGAAAACAGACATCTGTTCACTATCGCCAGAAACCATTGTAAAAAGGTTTTGTCTGACGTCAAAGCTCGCTATTCTCAGGTCATAAAATCTCGTATCTCATCACAAAAATTAGGCTCTCGAGACTTCTGGAGAATCTTTAACAGTATCAATAATAAGGGCAAATCTGTTATTCCTTCTCTCTTGTATGGTTCAGACTTTGTCACCTCACCTAAAGACAAAGCTGAATTGTTTGCTAAGAACTTTTCATCAATATCATCTAATGATTCCACTAGTTGCATTCTACCTGACATAGCCGTCAAACAGGTTGATCCCTTGCTTGACATTCGCATCACTTCAGCTTCTGTATCAAAAGTAATTTCCTGCTTAGACTCTTCAACAGCTTGTGGTCCTGACAACATTCCTGTTGTAGTCTTGCAGAAGTGTTCTCCGGAGCTTTTATCCATACTTTCAAAACTATTTAACAAGTGCTTATCAGTCTTGTTTTCCATCATGCTGGAAAGCAGCATCTGTTATCCCTATTTTCAAAAATTCCGGAGAGCGATCTGATTCATCTAACTACCGTCCCATTAGTGTTCTTCCTGTCATAAGCAAGGTTTTTGAATCTTTAATCAACAAACACTTAATCTCTCATCTTGAATCAAATAACTTACTTTCTGATCATCAATATGGATTTCGATCTTCTCGTTCTACAGCTGATTTGCTAACAGTAAGAACCGATAGGTTTTACCGTGCATTAGATAGAGGTGGAGAGGTTAAGGCTATCGCACTTGACATTTCTAAAGCTTTTGATAAAGTTTGGCATGCTGGTCTTCTCCATAAGCTTTCTTCTTATGGTGTATCTGGTAACATCTTTAAGATTATTGAGTCCTTTCTTTCCAATCGTAGTATAAAAGTTGTCCTCGATGGACAACACTCTTCTTCACATCCTGTAACTTCAGGGGTTCTTCAAGGTTCAATCCTTGGCCCTATACTCTTTTTAATTTACATTAACGATCTTCCAGATATTCTTACATCTAAGGTGGCATTATTCGCTGACGACACTACCATTTACTCTTGTCATGATAAGAAGCCTACACTCTCTGATTGCCTGGAGGGGGTATCTGAGCTTGAAAAGGATCTCAATTCTGCTACAGCATGGGGCTCACAGTGGCTGGTGAACTTTAATTCAGATAAAACTCAATTTTATTCGGCCAATCGTTATCGTAATAATTTAGATCTTCCTATATTTATGAATGGTAATGTACTAGATGAGTCATCTACCATTCATCTTCTAGGATTAACTCTTACTTCTGATCTTTCTTTTAAACCGTATATCAAATCCATTACAAAATTAGCATCTGCTAAGGTTGCATCTCTTTATCGAGCTCGACACTTTCTTACTCCAGATTCTATTCTCTATCTCTATAAATCTCAAATCCGTCCCTGTATGGAATACTGTTGCCACATCTGGGGCGGATCTTCTAATGATGCTCTTTCTCTTTTAGACAAGGTGCAAAAACGAATTGTAAACATAGTTGGACCTGCTCTGGCAGTTAATCTCCAACCTTTGTCACATCGTCGTAATGTTGCTTCTCTTTCTCTTTTCTACAAATACTATAATGGGCACTGCTCTAAAGAGCTAGCGTCCCTTGTGCCATCTACTAAAATTCATTCTCGTGTTACTCGCCATTCAATTAAGTCTCATCCTTTTTCTGTGACTGTTCCTAAGTGCTTCAAAAACTCTTATTCTTCTAGTTTTTTTCCTCGAACATCAGTTCTTTGGAATTCGCTTCCTTCATCTTGCTTCCCTGATTCATATAATTTGCAATCTTTTAAGTCATCAGTCAATCTTTATCTTGCTCTACAGATTTAGTCTTTTCTCTTCCAGTAACTTCCAACTCTTATAGTGGTTGCTTGCAGCCTTGTTGGAAGTGAAGATGTTAAAAAAAAAAAAAACAAAAAAAAAAACCTATTCCTGATATAATCTATTTAATTATATACTTTTTAGTAAATGACTGTTGAAATGATAGAAATTAATTGACATTATTAATTTAACAATTATATTAATTAAAGTTGATACTTTAATATCTTAATGTAAACTTTCAATAACAAAAGCAGAGGGAAGGGTGATTAGGTGTTTATTAGTTTTATGGCTTTATCCAACACAGAGCATAAAACCCTTACACTGTTTATTAATATTGAAAAAAAAAAAGTTTCCCAACTAAAATTTTCTTACTTTAGGAAAAGATAAACTTACTAAAAGAAAACTGATACTTTACAGTGTTTGCGCAGACTTGATTAAATACTTTTAAGTGTCTAATACATGGGAGGGAACATTTATTAATTTTCTGAAATTTTTCACACCCAGACCAAACTTATTAATCTTCCTCCTCTTGCCCACCTTAACAAATCCCTTCCCCTTTTTTTTTTCTCTTCTTTTTACCCCCTCCCCCTTTGTATTAGGCACATGAGAGTGAACATGTATATAACATAAGAATTTTCACATAGATGACAAATGTGTGACAAACTGTAAGTCATTTTTAGAATATTCAAGTTGTTTTTAGAAAATTCAGGTTTTAAAAAATTCGATGGTGAGTATACTCTTCTACACATTTAAATTTATTCCATGTAGAATTTGAATTTTTTACACTGTTTAGTGACTGTAAACTGTTCAGAAAACTTGGACAGTAAGAATCTTGGGTATATAGAAAGAAGTTTTTTAATTTAGCAATTTTTTTTTTTTTTTAAAAACATGTTCAAATAATATAAAAATAAACCAAAAAACAAACAACAAAGAAATGATATAAGTTTATTAAAAAAAATATTCTCTTTAACTGAAAAAATAAAAAATTAATACAAATTGCTCATTTTAAAGTTGAAATTCATAACACTTATTCATTTATATATTCATAACAATTATTCATTTATATATTCATAACAATCATTCATTCATATATTAATAACACATAATATTTTATATAAATTTGATTGATCTATCACCTTCAGATTATCGAAAGATTATAATGTAATGTTTGTACAACTTGAGCTGTTTTTGCTAACTTATTCTTTGCTGACTCAGTCGCAAGAGTTTGACAAAAACAAAAATCTTTTAGGCAGTTTGCTAAACAGTGCGAAGGCTTTATTCTAAATTTAAACCTACATAGAATAGATTTAAACATTGTGAAGGCTTCATTCTAAACCTACATAGAATAGATTTAAACATTGTGAAGGCTTCATCCTAAACCTACATAGAATAGATTTAAACCTTGTAAAGGCTTCATTCTAAACCTACATAGAATAGATTTAAACATTGTGAAGGCTTCATTCTAAACCTACATAGAATAGATTTAAACATTGTGAAGGCTTCATTCTAAACCTACATAGAATAGATTTAAGCGTGTAGAAGAGTATATTCAGCATCGAAAGCAACTCTGTAGTTACTTTTATTAATAGAAAAAAGTTCAATTTAGCGTTAACTTTTACATCTTGCTCAAGAGGAGGATAAAAAATTATTAAATTTTGTTTGGATTATATATCATATATACATTACTACTGTAAATATTTTCAAACATTTTTGTCTTTTTCATATTCACTATTTGTTTTCAAATTATATTTTGTTTAAACTATTATAAACTTAAATTGCATTTTATTTTGTAATAGGCATCTAAAATTCTAAAATGAGTTTAGACTCCTTAAATTTACCCTTTGTCCCATTTGTAACCCTTATCTTTTTTTTTCCGATTTTATAAACACTCTTTTCACTTTTTATATAACAAATACTCTTAAATAAAAAAAATAAAAACTTGCAATGTATATCTAGAAGGCTTAAATGCAACAACAAACAATTTCAGATTTTTTTGTTTCAAAGTTAAAAAAATAAATTCATTTTTTAAGCTTAAAAACTTCAACTTAATGTAGAGAGAATAATGAACTTCTGCTGAAAAGTTTTAGTTTTGTTTACATTTATTTATTTTTAATGAAGCATTTTTTTTGTAAAATTTCTTTATAAATTACAAAAAAAGGTATCTTCTAAGGGGTTTATTTATGTTGATTTTTCAAATTTATTTTTTAAATAAAATAACTACTATTTAACTTTAGATTTTTTTGAGTTAATTCTAATTTTCTTATTAACTATCTACCCTAGCTTCTTATAAACTATCTACTCCAGCTTCTTATAAACTATCTACTCCAGCTTCTTATAAACTATCTACTCCAGCAACGCCAAATTTCTGGTATCTAATAGGTTTTTTTTTGAAAACGACAAATAAATTGAGTTATCATTGTATGATAACGCAACATAGTAAAAAACTAATTTATCAACCAAAACTAATTCTTGCTTGACTCAACATTCAGCAAAAAAAGAGTGCCAACTCTTTTATTGTATCTACTCAAAACTTTTAATCATCTAGCTATTTTCCTAAGCACTTCAATGCTTTGGACTTCCTTTCTATTTTCATATTTTCCTGACTTAAATAACCTAAAACTTTTTAAGTCTTATTGTCAACCATTTCCTTGCTCTTTTATAATATTCTGTGTTTTCTAGTAACTTCCAACCTAATAGTGATTGCTTGCAGCTATGCTGAGAGTGAATGAGTTTGAAAAAACTCTCATATATCAATAGGGTGTTAGCCAGTCTAATAGTATTGCATATATTGCAGAACTTTCAATGGGTTTAAAAGTCTCAAAAAAAAATTTTTTATTGAAGTAATAGGACAATTTTAATAAAAAATCCTAATATTTTGTAGAACAATAACAATAAACATTTTCAATATCCCAGTCCAGACCCACCTAAATTTACAAACACACAATTTACGTACGCATAAGGTATTTTTGTTATGCTAAAACTATTTTTTCTAAAATTATATAAATTGCTCGAAAAAATGTTACTTTTGTGAACATTTGAGCTTTAAATATTATGTTACTATAAAGTATTTAGATTTTAACTTTTACAAATATTTTTAAATTAAGAAATCTTTAATATTGCAATCTTAATTTTATTTAATTAGATAAATTATTAAAAACAATAATATAAACATAAATCAAAAAACAAATAACCAAAAAAATGATATAAGTTTAACCAAAACAAATGTTTTCTTCAACTGAAAAATAAAAGTTAAATACCAAATGCTCATTTTAAAGCTGAAATTCGTAATAAATTTATAGCGCTTTATATAAATTGGTTCAGTCTATTACCTGACAGATTATCGAAAGATGATAATGTAATGTTTGTACAACCTATAAAAAAAAATTGTTGTGAAAAAATGGTGTATAAAAAAGTGTTGCTGAAATAAAAAAATACAGGAAATAAGAATAGCAGTATTAAGAAAGATAAAAAATTATAAAATATTTAGATAGATATTCATTACTAACTTGAGCTGTTTTTGGATCAACGACAACAATATAATTTTGACAGCCATATGCTAAAAATCCTTGCCATCCCCTAAACATAAAATATGCCTAAAATATAAAACATTTATGATATTACATATCAGGGATGCAGAGTCCAAAAAAGAATCCAGTTTTAAATCTCTGTTTTTTACTGGTCTCTGCTGCCCAGGAGCTCTATAAGCTTCAGGTGACTTATAATCAAGAAAAAATTCTTAAGATTTTATGACTTTGAACCTATTGTTTTTTAGATCAGAGTCCTGGAGTCCTTGTGCCATTATACATAAAGACCCCATGTTTAAAAATTGAATTCTTCTTCTAATCAAAAGATCTTTAAATTTTTCCCAACTAATCATTTTTTAAATATGAACAGAGGTTATTTGTTAAGTATGAACTAAAAGGGTTAATATAAGGTTATTAAAAAGAAATAATAAAAAAGTCTTAAATAAGATAATTTGTTGAATATTAGTTTTTTAAGGTAATTCTATACAATTAAAAAGGCGAAAATCTTAAAATTTTCATTTTTTTAATTATAATTGCTTCAAGATCAAAATTTATCACAGAATCTTAATATGTCACCGAAATTTAAAAAAATAAAAAGGAATTGAGGTTATTTCAACTTATCTTAATAACGGTATAGATTTTTACTCTTAGCAACGCCCTTAGCAACCATGTTATAGAATTATAACACCTCTATCGCAAGTTATGTCTTGTGTAATTCCATCTCAATTTGTTTTCAAGTATTTTTTATGCACTTAGCATAACTAAAAAAAAAAAATTTTTTATTATGCTAAGTAATATTTTTTCAGGAACTAAGTTAATACTCTCGCTGGAATAATGCCTCCGTGACCAAACGCAAAAAATGATCGAGTGTTTAAATGGAACTATTTGGGTACGTTGTCCCAAACCTACTAATTGTAGCAGAAAAGTACTTACAATTGGTGTATGTTCTGCCATTATAAATTTCAATGATGGTATTAATTGTATTGAAAATGTTTGGATTGTTTTAGCATTCCACATAAAAGTTCTTTTGAAAAAAAATGCATTAAAAAGTGGCCATTATAGAGCTTTAATTCATTGTAAATAGTCATCCCTTATTTTAAAAACATAATGAAAAGTGAAGAAGTCTAAGAAAAGAGTTTATATTAAAAAAAAAAAGACATTAAAGAATGCAAACCTTATAGTTCTGGATCTCTTGAGTTAGTTTTGTTTTGCTTTATGCTAATAAATATTATCTGATTTTTAAAACTGTTTTTTCACAGAACGTGATTTTTGTTGTTTTGGTTATACCGTTTACATAATATCTTCACAAATACTTTATGAAACTTGTTAAAATTTTCCACAAATATTTGTTAGTAATAAAGCTACAAAATGACCCTCATTGAAGAGTCTCGCTTATTGAGATTTGTACTTATGAAGTTTTGAGTAGGCGAGTAAAACTATGAAATTCACCAATTCTAATGAAAATGACTATATTTTTGCAAGCTTTAAAAACCTCTTGACATAAACTAAACAAAAAGCTTAAAAAAATCTTACCAATCACATGCATCTTTGTTGCCTGTATTTAAAACACCAGGTATAATTTTAGGTGTCAAAGAAATATTCATCTTTGATATCAAAACCACTGAAAAAAAAACATTTAAACATTAAATAATTTTATTACTATTGCATCTATAGAACCATATTTAAATGTTCTTTTGATAACTTTGAAAAAAGTTTTTAAATTTTAAAACTTTTTAAAGTCATATAAATTGTAAATTTAATCTAGTAGTGGTGTAGTGGTAGAGCTCCCCATCTCTTGTAACCACTACATACACACCACACTCAACTTGTTTCTATGCACAGAGTTCTGGTTCCTTGGACTAATTTCTTTTATTCTCCAAAACTTTAGTTTTCCTGGTACCGTCTCTTGTATTCATATATCATTTCAAATATTTTTACAAGGTTTAAATTTCAAATAATAATTTAAAAACTACAAATAATAAGTTGAAAACACAAGTAACACATCTCTCCATAATAATATATCACTCCAGGCTGACACAACCATTGACACACAATAACAGTTTTGACCTATTTGGTTTCTTGAAAATTATAAGCAATGTATTAACACACAGTTCAAACAATCCAAAATTTTAAGACATTCTGAAGATTACGAATTAGTGATAAAAAATTGAAAAAAAGGATTTTGTGTGTTGATTAAAAATTGTATTTTGATGGAGAAAAATATTCAAAACATCAAAACCAAACATAATGTTATTGTATCAACATATTGTCAATGGTAAATAATGTGTTTATTCCTCTGTACATTCGAATATAGTATAAAATAATACTATTTAAATACTTAACATTTTTTAAATTTATTCATTGAATAACTTATTATAAATTTATGCATTAAATAATTATTTTGATATATTATCATTAGTAGGATCCTATTAAAACAAGATTGTCTTTTTATCCTAAAGATATTATTATTTTTATGTCATCATAGAAATGAAATTATTTGAAAAATCTTTGAAAAAAAATTTGGTTACCAAGCCAAAAAGCCTGTTTGTATTTTTTGATACAAACAGGAGTTTTTATTTTTCATCTCAGAGGCTGAGATAAAAAATAAAAACCTGACTAACTTTTGCACATGTTTTACTGATTATAGTAATATATTTGTACAACTTGTAAGAAATAATTACTTTAAATATATATATATATATACCTTATAAAAACTTAAAACTGATTGCTTCCATGAAATTACATCATATCATGATCACCAAAAAAAAGAAAACACCTGCTGAATAAACTTTTTTTTTTTACTACAAGTAAGCATATTTTATAGATGATAATATAAATATCAGTCATTTATATTATATAATCAATCATATATATCATTTATGTATTTTATACAATCATTCATATATATTATATAATAATTCATATATATTATAAAATAATTCATATATATATATATATATATATATATATATATATATATATATATATATATATATATATATATATATATATATATATATTGAATAGTTGTTTATATATTATATTAAAATAATATAATAATAATACAAAAATTCTTGAACATAAAACAGTGCTCAATATTACTATAATAGAGCAATAAATATTTTGTTTAAATGAAAAACAACATTATTAATAGTACTTGAAGTTTTGTGCCATACACTGCAATCATAAGCTATTAAATACATAAAAAAACTATTTGAACAATCATTGTTTATTAGCTTTACCATTTGATGAATTAGTGTTTATTGCCCATTGAACAATCAGTGTTTATAAAGTAATATTGTTTATCAAGCTACTGTGATTAATGAAAATCCTAATCCTGAAGAAAAAGAAAAAATATATTTTGGTATCAGCGAGACACAACTCAAACTTAGATATGCAAATCATTGATACCGAGCTTTCTAAGGAGATTTGGAGTTCTAAAGAAAAAAACATAAAGCACACAATAAAGTGGAAAATTATAAAATGCTGTAAACCTATTAAAATAACATCAAAAACTTGTAACCTCTGCCTTCATAAAAAATTTATAATTTTATATCACAAAGAACAACCTGCTCAATAAAAAAAACAAAATATTATCTGTGTCAACATTCCAGTAAATTTCTACTGTCCTCTTTTGATATCAGAGACTAAATAGTTATATCTTTTATTACGTAAGAAGATGTTCTACCATATTTTTAATTCATTTGTAAAAGATTTTGTTTTTAAATGGTTTTTTATGTATTTAATAGCTGATGATTGCCATGTATGGTACAAAACTTTAGGTATTATTAATTATGTTGTTAATATATATATATATATATATATATATATATATATATATATATATATATATATATATATATATATATATATATATATATATATATATATCAGCCGTATGTGTAAGATAATCAGTCATATATTAAATAAAATCATGTCATACATTAAATTTAAGTCATATATTAAATGTATTACATATAAAAATTGTGGTAATGGTGTAATGGTAGGTGGTCGTGGTAATGGTGTAGTGGTAGGTGGTCGTGGTAATGGTGTAGTGGTAGGTGGTCGTGGTAATGGTGTAGTGGTAGAGTGTTCATTTCATAAGAGAGAAGTTCTGATTTTGATCCCCACCTTATCATTGCTAGTAACGGCACTTAAATTGTTTTTCCACACAAAAACCTTGTGTGGAAAAAAATTAAGTCTATAAGTCTTGTTTGTTAAGTCTATAGCCTTCGTCAAGGCTATAGACTTGACAAACAAGACTTATAGACTTGAAAGAAGGTTGTGACCACAACTAAAGTAGCCTTCTCAACTATAATGGCCTTCATAGTCTTGGGGAGGTGAATCAAAAAAAATAATAATAAAATTAAATTAAAAAAATATCAGTCAGTTTGTTATACTTTAACCAATTTAAAGAAAAATGTGTGAAACACTTTGTGGTTTACCTGATTTTTACATATATTACTATTTTTATTATATACTATTTATATCTATATTGTTATAATTTATTTCGAGTTTAGAAAGTTTAGTCTCATAAACATTATCATGTGGCATCATTCTCTAACGGTAAAAGTTGACAGCATTAAAAATTTTCTTAAACTGCTATTTTTTATACAGTTTTAAAAGTAAATGATTTTCACTAACTTATGTCATATAAGAAAAAAAAAATTTATTCATCAAAAATTCATTACAAGTTTAAAATCTTTTTCAAGTTTTCTGATTAGCTAATATTTTATGCAATAATTGAAAAAATTTGTTACATTTATTCCAATAAATCTTAAAATTCAAAAGGTCTAACTATTAGTGATTTTAACTTTGTATTCATCTAAGATTAACAGCACTTTGTATTTATCTAAGATTAACAGCAAATAAAACCAATAGGCTTAACTTTCTAAACTTAAAAGTCTGAAACTGCATATATAACCTATTTACATAATGCAGGGTTTCTTTTTTTAATGTTATTCACCTCCCTATGACAGAGAGAAGCACTACAGTCAAGGAAACTACTTTATTGTGATTACAACCCTCTCTCTTAACTCTCTAACTCCAAAAAACCAACCTTGATGAAGCAAGGTGTCTGTACAAGAAAACAACTTAAGCGCGGTACTAACAGGTAAACAGTGGGGATCGAACTCAGAACTTTTTGCTTATGAAGCAAGGGCTCTACTACTGCACCACAAGCACATTTTAAAATATGTTAAAATCAGGAAAATCATGACAAAAAGTTTTCTATTGGTTGAAATATAAACAAATGACATGACAATATATATTTGATTTGATTTTTTTTATTTATTATTATTTGCTTCTATTTATTAAAGACATTTTTAGAGTTGAGTTTTATTTACTATAATTTTACTTTTTAACAATAAAAAAATTACCTAACTAAACTTTTTAAACATAAATAATATAATAAACAATATTTCTTTACTAAAATTAAAGCAAATAAAACTTAAATATAAAAAACTCTTTTAATGAACAAAAGCAAACAATAACAAATTAAAAAATAAAAAACTCAAATAAAAAGTCAATTTTCTGACTTCATTATTACTACTACTTTTATAGATAATAATAATAACAATAATAATAATAACAATAATAACTATAATAATAATAAAAGTAATAATAACGATAATAACAACAACAACAACAACAACAACAACAACAACAACAACAACAACAACAACAACAACAACAACAACAACAACAATAAAATAACAATAACGGTGATAATTATTATTATTATCAAGCTCAAGTGAAATAAAAAATATTTAAAATTGACAAAGTGATAATAGTTGTTAAGACTGAATAAAAAATAAAAACATGAATTAAAAAAAATTTGATAAACAACTACATAACTTCAGCTTTTCATTATCTTTAACAGTAGCTATACAATATAATACAAAAATTAAAGTTCATTTAATAAAAAATACTTGAAAATTTTTGCTTCACATTAAAATCTTAGGATTCGTTTACTTTAACACTTTGCTCTTTAGTAGTTTTCTAAAATTGAAAAAAAAAATCAATCTTCTCCAACAGGTACAGCATCTTCAAGCTTTCTAAGAAACTTTACTCGCATTTCTGTAATACTATCACCACGAAGAACATCTTGCACAAAAGCTGCCTCTACTTCCATTTGAACCTTATTGCAAACAATAAAAATATAAATGAAATTATAAACTAAAAAAAAAAAAAAGTGGTCTAGCTATTAAAATTTTTCTTAAAGTTTTTTAAACTTCGATTAAAGTCAAGTTTCATTGAAAAAAATATTTACACAGTAAAACTTCTCCATAACTATCTAACAAAAACAAAAATTAAGAATCATGTTATATTTTAAAGTTTAAGTTAGAATTTAAGGGTATAGACACTATTTAAAGATTCTTATCAAATTATCGATTATTAAAAAGAAGAGTGCAAAATGTTAACTGTTTTTGTTCTTACAAAATAAAAAAGTACTTGTTAGAATTAGAAGAACCTTGGTTTGTTTTAACTTACACCAACTTAACTTTAGACAAAAAATACTGAAGCCATTCCTATAAAAAAACCTAACTGATTCAGCTGACTTTAATGTTCAAAGATTAGATGATTCAGCTGTTTAAATTAAAGACCAGATAAAAATTAAATTTAATGTTGTGAAATATGAAGAAAAAAAAATCAATGAGACTTACCATTTCAAGAGCACCCTTAATAACACCAGCTAAAATACTTGAGTACCACAAATTAGAATGCCCATCAGGAAGCTCAACAAACTCTGCTAATGGGTTCGAGTCAAATATTAAAGAGAATTCATCACCCATTGCATTCCAACTTGTAACCTGTGGTGTTATTCCAAGAAACATTTTGAATCCATTCTATAGAAAAAATTTATGTTAAACTAAAGTCATTGAATTAACTTTTATAGCAATGATTAAAGACTCAACTTTTTAAATTTATTTTTTATTAATCAGTTTTTTTTATAATAAGTTTACATTTTTAAAAAGGTCAAACTTTTCAAATTAACTTGAAAATTTTGACCTTTTAATTCCGCATCTGTGATATAGAAATAATACAAACAAACTTTTACTTCACTTTTGAAAAGTAGCAAAATGAAATTAATAAAACAAATTATATTTTTGCTTTTTCAATAACTAAAAATTAGAACAAAAAAGTAACCCCTTCATATCCTCAACTGCCTTGTTACATCTAAGTAATAACATGAAGGGAAATAAATAAAAAAAAAAGAACTAGCCTGTTACACCTTTGCAATAACATCAGCTGTCTCCTTTAAATCATGACATCTTCCAACATTTGAGCGTGCTAAAAAGTCTTCTATTAAACGAACACCAATGTTATAACCCCTATAAAAAACAGAAATATATATATATATATATATATATATATATATATATATATATATATATATATATATAATATACATATATATATATATATATATATATATATATGTATATATATATATATATATATATATATATATATATATATATATATATATATATATATATATATATATATATATATAATATGTATGTATGTATGCATATATATATATATATGTATATATATATATATATATATATATATATATATATATATATATATATCAGCGACGTATCCAGGCCGATTTTGATACCGGTATACCGGTATTGCCCCCCCAATTTCAGCCCAAACTCAATTTAAAACAATTTTATATTAACATTTGTTACGATTACAGAAATACCAACATTTGAAAAACGACTTTTAAAATACATTATAAATATATTTTAAGCCAACCAAAATGCTTAATTCGAATTCACGTTGATGAAATATAGAATATGTTGTAATTGGATTAAATGTAAAATGCACGCTTTGATTGGATTAAAATATGAATCGCTTAGCATTTTTAAATAACATTTTTAAAATATATTAATTTGAGTTTCTCCTCTGCTTACATATTCATAACATAATTTTTGAAGCGATTAAACTAGATGAGCTTTAAACTATTTCATTTCAAATAACAGTAAAAATTGTATTAAAAATACTTTAAATAATAAAACGAATAAAAGTTTTTAAAACATAAAATAAAATTTATTTAAATAATTAAAATAACATTTTAATATTCGCGCCAAAAAACTTGATTTGAATAGTAAGAGTAAAACTAGAAAAAAAAGTTATTAATTTTTGAATGAAGTAATTAAAATTTCGAATGAATTTACCTTGTTTTAAATACGCTATGTAATAAATCTTATCAAATTTATATTAAAGAGTCATACAAATATTGTTTATTAAACGAATATAGTTATTGCTTGTTTATGAAATCATACTCTTTATATTTCTAGTTAATAATATTTAATATTTTGAATTTAGTAATTTAATAAATAGTATTAATTATAATTTATAAATAGTAAGTGAATGGAGCAAGTAAATGAAAAGTAGCGATTAGCAAATAATCGATGTTGGAGTTAAAGCCGTCGTTCTGTAATAAATGTAACATTATTTTAGTTAATTATTTAAATTTTTGTTAGAAAAAATCTAAAAGACAAGGGTGAGTTATATATTATATACGAATGATTGTATTTAAATTTGAGTAAAAAAAAAAAAAAAGAAGGTCCCCTAAGGTAGACAGGATTTTTAGACCGGTATGCCCAAATTATTTCTGGATACGTCACTGTATATATATATATATATATATATATATATATATATATATATATATATATATATATATATATATATATATATATATATATTATATATATATATATATATATATATATATATATATATATGTATGTATATGTATGTATAAAACAAATATTTTTTAAAAAATGCAGACCACCAAACTGTGTATAAAAGAATAATACAGAATTTTAAAGATTTAAAAACTTCCATTGAACATTGAACAGGTTCCTTTAACAGGTTTAACAGGTTCCTAATATCATCAAAAAAAATTTTTTAATAACAGATCAACTTGGATCTTAAATGAAACGAAGTTATAGAATAATTTCGAAAACAATAATCATTTTATAAATATGTTGAAAAAATATCATTATTAAAAAAAATTGTATAATTATGTTTTTCATTCATTTATAGTTTAAATAACATTTTTTTAAGTAGTAAAATCAAAAAAGAATTTTTTTATAAACTTTTACCAACCAAAATACATTTTAATTTTTGAGGGAAGAAAAAAGATACAAAGATTATGATTAAAATTTTTCTATTATTTAGAAGATATAATTGGGAGGTAGAGCAGAGGAGAGATCAAGCCAAGGAGAGTCAAGGCTAATTTTACATGTAATATGCAAAAAATACAAATGAATGGGTATTAGCATTTATTTTCCTTGAAAAAAAGGTCAAAACTTGACAAGAGTGAGTAACAAATAGCTTGAGGGGGAATTAATAAGCAAGACTTAAGGGGGAATTAATAACCAAGATTATATGTTTTGAAAGAATGGCATAATTGAAAACTCCCTAATCCAAGCAAGTACAAAAAAACTAGGTGATAAAACAATAACAGTGCTGGTAATAATGATTGACGATTTTTTTACAATTTTTCACTTTCTGTGGGTCCCAGTATCAGGTCCGATCCACTTAAATAAGTTTGATATCAGAACCAATCCATTTAAGCAAGTTTTGCTTAAATTTTTTAAAGAAACATTCTAAACCCATAATCAAAACATAATGACAGTAGGTAGATTAAAACCATTGAAACTCTCTATTAGCAATTAAATTCTAATTTTTTTTAATGATTGAGATGATGCACAAATGACTAATTAATATCACAAATAATTTTGGCCATTTTTTTTATAAATTTAGACTTTTTCCTAATTTTGATCTTATGCTATTATTAGCTTTTACCTGGTTGGTAAGTTTAATCTCTACAAAATTTTTAATAAATATTTAATAAGAAAGTAAATAAAACTCTATCATTAAAAAATGAAGCACAAATCTGGTGCTGATAGTAATTTTAAGAGATTGTGGCTAAAGCGATGATTTTGGTATAAGCTAAAGCAATGTTGTGGTGCAAGCAAATGCAATGATAGTATTAACTTTAAACTTAATTAATTTGCATTTATTGATGCATTCACCACATGTTGTACTAGTTGAGTTATATATAAATTGTTCTCAAAGTTCTTCAGACAGATTCAAAATTTACGAAATTAAGGCTGAACAGAAAATTCAGGTTAATGCCTATAAATGAAAAATTTCTTGTCTAATGTTAAAATATGTTTTTTTTGCCAAACAAAACACAGTAATAAACCAGTTAAATGACATTTACTGTAGAAGTAGTTACTACTTCCTAGTGAAGGTTTTTATGTGTTTCTATGTGTAAAACACTGCACAGTAAAAACCAGACTAAGTTACTGTAAAGATTTTTAAACAGTGACTATGATGAAGTCTTTATAATAATGGATATTGGCTTTGATTGAAGTTAGATCTAAGTAATTATTCTTGAGGCATGGTTTCAGTAATAATCAACTTTTTTAAAACCTAATAAACTTTTAAATGCTCTAATAAATTGTTAAACACTTATCAAGATTAGCCGTAAAAATAAACCAGTACATCGCTATCAAAGCAATTGTTGGATTTGAATTTCTCAAACTTGAGGAAATCAATAAATATCTGTTATTATTTCAGCTTTTTTTTTTTGTAGTTTTTCTTTACTTTAGAAACATTAAGCAACTATTTTTTTCTTATAAGCAGTAATTAAAATTAGAAATACAAATACATTTTTTCAAGTTGCTTGTTCACTTCTTCATCACTTTCATAATCTTTAAGTAATTGAGACACTAATGCACCATAAGTTAATGTAAACAATTCTCCACTCTGAAATTTCACAAAATATTTTGAGTTTGTTAATAAATTTTGAAATAATTATCATAAATATTCTAACAACATATTAACAATAAACATAATATACTTATCTAATTTTATACTTACAACTTTTTTGTTGTCTCTAACAGTACCTTGTTTTGACATGTTCAATAAAAAAAATTTAATTATTAACTGTTGTTATCTTATTAACTGTATCTCTAAAAATGAAGTTGAACATTTAATTTTACATTATCCAATAGAAAAATACGTCAATTTTCTTATAAAATTTATTGCATTAATTGTTTTTACTAGGTGACCCAGCAACTGTGTAAGGCTACATTTACGACTCCAGCAATTACTTTTAGATACCTGTGGCAATTCTTATTTGTTTTGTTTTTAGCAACAGATGCATATAAAAACAAATGACACAAATTTTGAATATTCAACAAAAAACACAAGCACAGGAAAGACCACTGCTAAGATATTTTTTACAAAAACTTTTTAATGAATTTGGAGATATTGTAAGGAAATTTAACACTCCGATATGAACAAAAAAATTTATGAATTAGTCAAAGAAAAAGTCAAACAGGGTGCGGATAGAGCCAACTTGATCAGTCTGTACCTTGACAAAAAAGTCGAAGGTTTTGAATTCTACAATGCAAAGGGTAATGAAATACTTAACCTGAAGTTAATGACTGTGGCAGACCACATCAAATACTCTATTAAAACAAAACACCAAGCCTCTGTGCTGATCCAGAGTGTCATTGGAATTAATTGAATGAGGTGTCCTCCAGTGACTCAGAAGAATATTATAGCCTTTTAAAGACAAATTTATTTTTTTGATAAAGAAGACATACTCAGAAGGTAATTTCAAATTAAAATCTCAACAGTACCTCTTTGATACAATGGCACAATTTTAGGCCAAGTCTATGTGGCCCCTTCGAGTCCAGACTTTTAGACTATTTTATGTGGACTGCTGTTGAATCATGTAAGACATACAGTATAACAGTATTGAGGCTCTATAGCCTCTATACTGTCTAAATCTATTTTCAGAACATGGAAAATTATTCCGGCTATTGACATCATCAATGCCTGCCAGACATTCCAAGATCGACTTGTCTATGAAGCAAGTTTATGAAGCTGGTGGAGGTCACATTGAATAAAACAGTTCTAGTCGTTTGTGATGTTGCAGTAAGTTTTTTTACTTTTTTGTTTAAAAATAAATTTTTTATAAAGCTTTAAAATTTTTAAGTTTTGCTTTAAAACATTACGCAGATGTTGGGTCAACTAATACATTTGTTAATTGAATTAAAAAGATGTATTTTTATTCGTACTTTTTATATATGCTTTATTTTAAGATAAAGATAAGTATTTTAAGATTTTTACCTCAATTTCTTTTCTTAATGTTTTACTTTTATTATTTTTACAAAATAATGCATTAAGAATAAAATATTAATAAATTAAGAATCAGAACTAAACGTTTAAAAATAAATAAAAACCAAAATATTTATAAATTATTAAGAAAAAAGTCATAATAGTAGTATGAAAACCAAAAAAATAAAAAATTAAAAAAAATCAATTAAAAACAATATGAAAAAACAAATAATTAAAAAAAAGCTATTACACAATTAATCGGTCATTAAAAAATAAAAAAATCATAAACATTTAAAGAATAATTTCTTTTTAAAACTTTTAGATTCTTTCTTTTTTTTTGAAAATTATCTATTGCAATATTGGTTGTTTTACAAAGTGAACATATACATTGAGTCTTACAGGAATCATTCGCAAAGAGTGCAGTTCTAATGCAGAGACCAATCATATCAACATATTGTAACTAAATTAATTTAGAAATAAAATGTAGTAAAAAGTAGAAATTTAAAACCACTAATTAAAAAAGCAGAACAAAAGTAAAAAAAAAAGTAACCTTAACTATAATCAATTAAAATCAGGAATGTCATTGTATGAAAAACCTTTATATCCCCTCCATGCATAAAATGCTATTCGCACATGGTAAAAGCCAGGAATAAACAGCAAAACACCAAGTGTAACTACTGGCCATGTTCTGTCAGCATACTAAAATTAAAGTATAGATATAAAAAACAGACATAAATGCAGAAATGTTCATTACTTTATTAACAAAATTTGTTTTATAATATTCAAATAGGTTCACCAAATAACCGGTTTTTAAATAGAAGCTAAAACTATTAAAATCAAGAATTATACTGTGCTTTCCTATAAAAAAAAAAAAAAACTAGACATCTAGTAACCCTATAGACAAAATTAATTAATAAATTTTATACTGTTGTATGTATATACATAACATTTATGCAGCAGAAAAAAAGCTGCTGATAAACTTAATGCAGAAGATACTCAAAAAGCTGTTAAATTTGCTTAATGTAATTATTGTTGCTGAATACTTGTTTATAGAAATTTTTATATCACATCATATTGTCCAACCTATCATTCATATATTTTTCATACATGTGTTATTTTACATATCATTTATATATGTAAATATGTTATATAAAGTACTTGTTTGTCCATATGTTATGTAAAGTACCAATAAACTTTAAATCATCATAAATAAAAACAAGTTCATAGACAAACTGATAAATAAGTTAATATAAAGAAAACAGTAAATATATTTATTTTCTTTTATTTTCATTTATATTTAAAATTGCAAAAACAAATGTTATTCATACCATGACATCAATGTATCCAGTAAGTAGCATACATCCAATAACAAGCAATATTGTACCAAGTATGAATAAAAATATAGCTAAAGCAACGGCTTTTGTTGGAAAAGTAGTTGGCAAGCTTTGAAACTAATTTAATAACCACAAATTATTACTATATTACTTATTTTCATTATTTTACCATGTTATTAAGTAGAGCATTAACTAAATAAATTATAAAGATAAGAAAACAGCAATATATATTTACCTGAGAATCAACAAAATCTTCATCAGAATTGTTAAGTTTGTGATACCTCGCACTTGAATTTACTTTTCTTATGCTCATTTTAAGAGTTTTACGAACATACCAATAAACACTTTATATATATACCTAAATTTTAGATATCTATATTATTTTTAGGCTAATTTATTGTGTGTATATATATATATATATATATATATATATATATATATATATATATATATATATATATATATATATATATATATATATATATATACACTATACAATTTTACAACATACTTATAAATTATAAGTATATTGTAAAATTGTATAGTGTATATATATATATATATATATATAATATATATATATATATATATATATATATATATATATATATATATATATATATATATATATATATACACTATACAATTTTACAATATACTTATAGTTACAATATACTTACAATATACTTATAAGTATATTGTAAAATTGTATAGTGTATATATATATATATATATATATATATATATATATATATATATATATATATATATATATATATATATATATATATATATATATATATATAATATATATATATATATATATATATATATACACACACAATAATTTAGCTTATATTATAATATAATATAAGTTAAATGTTATAGTATATAATAATTAATAAAAAGAAACTAGTATACTTTTCAATTATAATTTAAAAAAATAATAATAAAAATAAAAAATAAATAAAAAGAAACTATTATACTTTTTATTTATAATATATTAACCATTTTTGTTTTAGTATACTGTAAAGCATAAAAACAACATTAAAAATTTGATTGCATTTTACTGAATTATACGAAAAATATTATTCACGACATAGATTTCCGATAAATGCCGATAAAGAAGCGGTTTTCAGAAGTTTAGTTTTAAAAAAACAGGTTTAAATTTAGATTTTACAAAAACTACTTGGTTAAATGAAGATCAAACCTACAAGAGGGTGTAGAACTCAGTGGCGTACTAACAAATTTTTAAACTTTTTTTTACCATAAAAATCTCTTTCGACTACGATATAAGGATATATATATATATATATATATATATATATATATATATATATATATATATATATATATATATATATATATATATATATATATATATATAAAACTTCTTTTTATGGTTTAATATCTATTTGTTAAAAATATATTTATTTTTACGATATTTTAAGGGGATATTGATACCCTCGTTATCAAGTATATTAAAAACAGTTATAAAAAATAAAACATCTATATTATACAAAATCGTTTAAATTTAAACGATTTTGTATAATATAGCAGTTTTATTATATATATATATATATATATATATATATATATATATATATATATATATATATATATATATATATATATATATATATATATATATATATATATATATATATATATATATATATATATATATATATATATATATATATATATATATATATATATATATATATATATATATATATATATATATATATATATATATATATATATATAGGCTTACCATACGTCCCGTTTTGACCGGGATTGTCCCGTTTTTATGCCGTTTGTCCCCGTGTCCCAAAATTTTTTATTTTGTCGCGTTTTCGTGAAAAAATCAATAAAAATTTTACTTTTTGTCTCAAACAAAACTCAGGATTTTGGATTTTTAATAAAAATCTGACTAAAAAAATTATAATATTTCTTTATTAACACAAATACTAGCAATAACATTCTAGGTCTGCTTTATATCAAAAATTCAAAATCTTATTTTGAATCATTCTAAAGAACACAACCCGTAAGTTACGAATGAACTTCAAAAAGGTTACCTGTTTAAGAAGACAACAAAGTGATGTCAGCAATATTTAACAGAACTTTCTGTTGCACATGGGGAACAAACATAGAAGTTTTTTAAAGTGTGCCGAACACAAATATAGAGTCTCGGCTGCCGCGTGTTTTTCATCTATTAATTTTTTTTTTTTAAATAATGGACTCAATCATTGAGTCAATGAAGGTGATTTGGATATTGCAACAAAGAAATTGAAGCTCTTGTTGTAAAAATATATAAGGATTTTCATATCTAAACAGTTCGAGTAAAGTAAAAGGAATTTAGTGGTTTTGTAGATATGGAATATAGAAATATAGTCCAGCATGAAAATATTAGATTTCTTTCTCTGCTGCCGGCTGTTAAAAGAATTTTGTATATGTTTGAGGGACTGAACTCATACCTTATTTCTGAAGAAAACTGTCCTCGTGCTTTGCAAACATTTTTCGAAAGTGAAACAGGTGAGTTATATTCCTGTTTTGTGTATTATTAGCTAAATAATTTTAACAAAACTTTATTAGTTATAGAAAAAAAACAAAAAAAAAACAAGCGCAACAAACATATTAAAACTTTAAAAAATTAAATCTAATCTTGATGAATGGATGAATAATAGTTTTGTCCCACAAAGGAGCGAAACAGTTGCTGAGAAAATTTAGTGCCAATGACGTTAATACATTTATAACTGAGGTAAAATCACTTTTATTGAACTGTGGGAAAACAGTTTTAATGGGGTTCAAATATTTGTGTAAATTGGACTTGATCACATACTGAAGTGGGAGGATATTGAACAATCTGCTGAAGCGATAAACAATATTTATGGTTCAAATGATTAAAAATAAAATTATTATTTACAGTTTATATGATAAGATGTTAAGCGCAATAGCATTTCTTGCATTAAATAAGAAAGAGTAGAGTTTATTAAAAATCTAAATCGCCTATGTTGAGAAATGGGTCTAATTATTCAAACATTTTCAAGAAAAAAGCAATGGTGGACTTAATTTAGTAAAAGCTATTGAATAAATTTTGTGTATGCTAGGAACATCTACACCTATAGAGCGTATTTTGCACCGTAAAACCTCTTTCTAATCCCCCCCCCCCCACCTAACCCTTACCTATCTGTCCCGTTTTACAACTCTAAAATTATGGCAAGCCTATATATATATATATATATATATATATATATATATATATATATATATATATATATATATATATATATATATATATATATATATATATATATATATATATATATATATATATAATATAGTGATGTAAATTTTCCAGTAAAATTTGATTCAAAATTTACCGGTAAAATTTACCGGTAAATTTACCGGTAAATTTTAACTAGAGAACGGTAAATTTTCCTTTAAAAAATCAAAAAAAAAAAAAAAAGAAAAAAAATAAGTGAAAAAAATTTTTTAAATTTACCAGGCGGTAAATTTTCAAAATTTTCCGGTAAATTTACCGGAAAATTTTCCGGTAAATTTTCCGGTAAATTTTACCTTCGCAACACTAATATAATATATATATATATATATATATATATATGTATATATGTATATAATATATATATATATATATATATATATATATATATATATATATATATATATATATATATATATATATATATGTATATATGTATATATGTATATATATATGTATATATATATATATATATATATATATATATATATATATATATATATATATATATATATATATATATATACATATGTATATATTATATATTGTATATATTATATATATATATCTCTATTAAAAGTATTCAAAAACTAACTTTGAAATAAAAAACAAACAAATATAATACAAGGCCAACATCACTGGATTTGAACTGGAGGAGGGGGGGGGGGGGGGTAGGGTAGGGGCACAATCGTCAAAAAAAATTTCAGTATCTAAAAATTTTTTTTTCAGCCTTCCGTGTCTTAAGGTTTTGTAATAAAATAAAAAAGATATAAAAACAACGTATTCCTTGTTAAATTTTACGTCAAATATGGTTATGATTTTTTTTAAATTATTTTTCTAATTTCTGAAAAATAAAGGGTATTGGGTACAAGGGTGGTAGAAGATTAGGTACCACCTTAATTATCAACATGCTTAGTAAGCATGTCGATAATTAAAGAGGTACATACTCTTCTACCACCCTTGTACCCAATACCTTTTTTTTTTTAAACAGCTGAAAACTAATGAAAATAATTGTAAGTATTACTTACAATATACTTTCATTAGTTTCCAGCTGTTTGAAAGAATTAAAAAAATGAGATGCCCCTAATGAGCACAGGGAACCTTCCAATTTTTGATGAACTAGATTATATTTTGGTTAAAGCTAAATGACCTTTTCCAGAATAACATTAAATACAAGGATTCGTCAATCATGTTTTCATGAAGGGAGTTATACCAATTTTAGGCAAACAAAAGCCACGCTATGGCAGTTAAAGTTAAAAGTGATTTCAAAAAGTTACCTGGTGAGAATTTTATATAGCTTTTAATGGTATTTTTACTGAAAAACATCAAGTTAAGTTAAATCATATTTTGTGAGTTTTTTTAAGAAAATGCATGATGCAAGCTACTTAAATACGCTGATAAACTTCTTGAAGCTGATATCCTTGTTACAATTTGCCAGCTTTTGTTGGAATTATTACTATCTCTGTTAAAAACAATTGATAATGTTGTCAAAAGAGTTCGGATTTAAATTAAACAAATTTGTAATGTATACATAAAGTTCTAAAAGGATCCGCTAAGTGTTTCCGATTATATCTATTAAGATATAATAGACTAGCTGGAGAGAAAACGAAGCTGAAAGTTGTTAAAATCTCAAACCTTTATTCCGACAGTCTCCTTTAGGTCCGCAAACATGAAAAAGATGATTCATTTAGTTCAAGACAACCTGCCCAAACCCAAACCCAAAGTCGATGTATGCACACTCACTGTGCCTATGGCTAAATAAATCAGTCGATGTATGTACACTGCGAAGTGTCTATCCCTATATCCCAATATGCCTATTCCCTAAAATCCCGGTTTTGGACGTCAAGGATGCTCAATGTCGAAATAGAGGTTTGAAAAGAGAGACTACCAAACAAATCAAATATATTCTGAATAAAATTGTTACATCAAGACTATTTACAAATAGTAATAAGTATTAATATGAAGTAAACACCTGTAAAATTTAATAATAATAAAATGATAACAATAATAATTGTAATACAAGTAGGAGTAAATAAAAATAGTAATAGTAATAACAGCGATAAAAAGTACTAGTATAGATTATAAAAAGTATATACTGT